AAAAAAGTTTCTTCATAAATAAGTGGAATTTCTAATAAAGGTTATATTCTTGCTAAAACATACGAGGCAATCACCAATGTTAGAAAGGAAAAAAAACCGAGACAGCTGAAAAATTTAACCGAAGCCATATTTAAATTTCACTTACCGTAAATGATGCTCCACCTGGGATTAATATGAATGATGTAAACAGTTCAGATTTAAAACTGATAGGTTATTCGAATGAACTTGTGTCTGTCCGTTTCGGTTGGTTGTTCTCATCATAGCTTAACTGTCATCCCTAGTCTGTTCCATTGTTCTGTTAGTAGATGTAAAATTTAGGTTATAATAATGAAAATTAACTATTAGTGCAGGCTATTAATTCAGTTTGAAATTCAGACGAGAAGTGATAGGCATGGCACGAGTTTCAAAGATATAAGGAACCCGTAACAGGAAGTGAAGGTCCTATCTTTCCGGTGGCAATGAAAAATAGCTAGTGTTCCTGCGCATATTTGTGATGGCTTGTTAAATTCACGTGTTGAAATTTTACAGAATGAAATAAATATCTAATCTGTTGTGGTAAGTAAAAATTATTAATATGTTAATTTTATATATTCATTTTATTTATCTTCAGCTAATTGAATTTGAAAACATTGCATAATTTCAGCTCCGCATAAAAGTACACTCTATTTAAGGCTCTGTCAGTAGTTTAGTTGCTGTAGTTAATTTATGTCGCACTAGAGCTGCACAATGGGTTATTGGCGACGATCTGGGAAACATCCCTGAGGATGATCCGAAGACATGCCATCACAATTTTGATCCTCTGCAGAGGGGGTTACACCCCGCTTCGGTAGCCCGACGACCTGCACGCGTAGGCGAGCACTTTACGGCAGAACAGTTTAACGAGGACCAATACCGCATACCCTCTGTTCCTACGCAGACTGATCCAAGTGGCCACCCACCCGCATACTGACCGCAGCCAGTGACGCTTGATTTCGGTGATCTGCTGGGAACCGTGTCTTAACGGTCAGTTCCCTGCGGGACGTCAGTTGTTTAGAATTGTAAAATTAAATTGTCAAATTAATTATTAATAAGTAATTAACTAAGTTAAAATAAGGTAAACCTGAAAACCAGTTTTTCGTTGCCATCGGGAAGATAGGACCTTCACTTTCTCTTCGATCATGTTGTGGATCAATTCTGTTGATGTAAATGAGTCAAAAGTTTCATAAATCTTTGAAGTAAATCTTTCTCAGTTTATTGGTTATTGTAACTATTATAGTAACTCTAATTAATTTTTATTTTGCTTAAAAATAAATTGCAAGTGTATTGAAATATGCAAGACTTGGGGCCATCTGGGGAGAAGAATGGTTCCATGTCTTGATCCTCCCTCCATCCCTCTCCTCCACTTTTCAGTTGTACAGGAATGTATTACAATATATCCCCCTTTCAAATTTTTCGGATTTAATTGTCAAAAATATTTTTAAAATTTTTACAACGATTTTTTTAGAAATATGCAAAGTGTAGTTTTCAGTTCCCTTCCCTAACTTAAAAGTTTTTAATCTATTTGAAAATTAAAGCAGAACCTTAACGTACTTCCTTTACCTATGACTTTCCATACGCTATTGGGTAGAGCATGCTAAGTGTTGTCATATTTAGAGAGTTTTGCTTTACGCCACCTGTGGCCCATTTCGATCGTCATCTTCCTTCCTTCATCTACTCTATTCAGATGCATTGGATTGGGAAAGTATTGTTATAAGAAAGTATGATTCTTCTTCCCTTCATAATATTTTTCACATTTAGATTGTTAAAAATATATTTTTAAATTCATGCGATCCTTACTTTAAGCACTGTATTTAATGCAGTTTTGAGTTCCTTATAGTTTTCAAGCTTAAAAAAAATTAATTGGTTTGACATCCTCACTCTAATGGTAAAAGCATGCCTAGTGTTGCCATAGGTATAAATAGTTCTGCTGAGTGCCACCTAAAGCCCATTTCGACGACCAATAATTTTATTTGAAACTTCAATGAGATTTCCGAGGATGAAAAATAGTTATTCGCGATCGCAACACTCGAATACGCCATCTGGGGAGAGACCGGTTTCATGCCTTTAGCCCTTCTCCCTTCCCTCTCCTCCTCTTTTCATTTATATAGGAATGTACTACGATATTTTCCCTTTTCTTAATATTTTTCCTTTTTACTTAATAAAAATATTTTTGAAAATTTCCGTGATACTTTTCTTTAGAACTATGTTTAATGTAGTTTTCAGTTCCATATAGTTTTCCAACTTAAAAGATTTTAATTTATATGAAAATCAAGAGAGAAACTAACGTACTTCCTTCCTCTATGACTTTCCACACGCTAATGGGGAAAGCATGTGAAGTGTTGCCATAGGAAAAAAGTTCTGCTCTACGCCACTTGCAGCCCATTTCGATCGCCAATGAACATTTTATAAAATGCATTTTACTTTAATCTTGCCGCTAGGCTGGATTAAGGGAAGCTACTAGGGCTGTAGGCACAGGTGGTCCCAAAATGTTTTAGGGTTCTGCCAGGAAACTCAAGGTTTCAACTGATCTTTTAAAAATATTTAATATATATATATATAATCAAATCGATAAAAAATTTCATTCCTTTTTTTATACATATTATATAATCTGTTGTTTGTTATTTGTTGGGTAAATTTTGCTTAAAAAACTCAGGAGTAAGATCTCTTCAACCATTTAAATATTTTTTTTTTTCTGGAGCACTAAGTATATAATAACATCGTAAGTTTACTGAAAAGCTGTGATTGCTAATTTCCTTTCTTTTTAATTTCTATAAAAGTTCTTTGAATTTGTAAGCTGTTAAAAAAATATTTCAGTAATATAGTTGCTGCTTCGAAGTGTATTAATGAGCATTTACTTCCTATTGTTTTTAATTCAAATGAATCTTTTCACATATATTTTTTTTCAATACTTACTACTTTATAAATTTGAGACTAAATTTTGCTTTATTTATTTTCTAATTCAAGGTATTTTCTTATGAGTATGTTCCAAATGTAAACAAATATATACATATATATATTTCAGAGAAAAAAAAAATCATAGAAAATGTTTTTTAGTGTGTATTTAAGATCTCTGTAATGACTTATCCAGAAATCTAATTCTGTTGTATTCCCAATATGAATTGTATTTAAAATAAGAATAGGGATTAAAATTGAGATGTTAATGGAGTAAAAAAAAATTATGTAACCGTAATTAAACTTAAAATGATAACAATTTAAATGTTGATCTAAAACAAAAAATGCAAAAGAACAAATAAAAATTAAGAACAATCCAGACACAATTTGGAAAAAAAGTTTTCCACTGATAAAAAATATTTATATATTAATAATTGCATACCTTTTTTTTTGCTAGTATAAAAATTCTACAGCTAATGTTCAGTGCAATTAAAATAAAAATTTGATCATATTTTTTATTTTCACTAAATTTATATAATAGAAATAAAATTTATAAAACAGATATAAAGTTTATATAAAAAAAGTTTAAAAAAAATTACAAATAATTTTTTAAAAGTATTTCTGAAAAATATGCTTAGAAAAGATTCATATATTTTCAAAATGTTGCATAAAAACTAAATTCTTGCTGAATTTCCACTAATTTGTAATGGACAAGGCCCTAGGTAATTCATCAGCCTTATCTCACATTGATCCAGCCCTGCTTGTTTCAAAATGAGTCATGTTTACTTATTACTCATAAGGGAAGAGAAATATAAATATGCATTACAAAATTTTTATTCGGCAGGAAACTTAAATTTTCGTTCAAAATTAAAATTTTTGATCACTATCTTTTGTCCTTTTCTATATTATTTCACTTTATTAACACAAAATGAAAAGTTTTATTTATTCAAAATAAGAAAATTAGAAATGAAAAACAAAATATGCTTTTCATTCAGTAGGATTTCTAGGCCTGAGAGTTGCACCCTTTGACGTTGCAAGTGCCATCGATAATCTGCACATATGCCAGTTTCCTTCTTGTAGCAATAATGAAAAAGCATCTTGATAGATCAAATAAAATGCTTCAAAGCAAGCACAAAAAAGCTCAATTTAAGTAATTGGTTTGAATTTTTAACTTTTTATTCATAGTTTTGTCAATATTTTTTTTGTTTTTTTTTTTAAATTCATACTTTTGAAAAAAGAAATAATTTAATTTATCCCAACAAATGTTTGAATGAGCAATTAAAACATATTTGGGTAAAAGTATAAAACAACTTTCTTTTCGTTCTAAAAGAATATAATTATTTGAAAAAGGTTTATTTCAGTTTTTCAGGTGGCGCTTGCTTAATAAATATCATATTGCAAATAAAATTATATGTATCACACAGATATAGGTAAAATTAAATTGATAAAGCTGTCAACCTTCAGAGAATTCAATGCAATGTTTTATCCTTTAATATAGTTACTTTCCAGTTTAATACATAGGTTTTTCCTCACATTATACTTAATGGGAAATCAGTGCAATGAACTGAAAATTCTTTATAATCCTGCACAGAGGTACCACTACAAATTTAATACAAATTGGGAGATTTAAAAATGCTGATGTAAAATCTGGTTTTATTGGGAATCAGAAAGTAGCTTCCCAAATAGGCAAAATGGTGCAAAAAAACTCAGATTCTGGTGACAAAGATTCTTTAACAGATTTGAAGACAAAGGTTAGAGGAAATTGAAAAAAGATAAAGGTTTCAGATTCAAACCCACATAGAAAAGAAAGAAAATATCTATGTGACAACAAAAAAGTTGTGCCGTGTAAAAGTTTCGAAAAAAAAAAGTTTTTTACCCATAAAATGATTTTGTAAATTTTTTTTTAATCATATCATATCATAATTAGTAATTCTATTATTTTGAATTAATTCATTGTTCGTAAATTCCATTTCGAGTAAGCACTTTCAAAACTTTGCTTGAGAAATACGATTTCAAATAATGGTTAAATAAAAATCTTACAAAGCATAATTTTAGAAAAGACATAAAAATGCAATCAGTTTCCTTCGATATTTAAGAAAAATAGTTTTATTAGGTTTAAAAGACACATATTACATCACATTTTTAAATCCAGTGCATACAAATAAATATATCATAATAAAATATTCAATTCATAGATGCAAGTTTCTAAAAATATAATGATTAATTTAAAAGAAACATAATCACATCAAAATGCAATTAATTAAGTCCAATTATTGATCAAAATAATTTTATGAGATTTAAAACTATGTAAAATCACATTTTTAAATTTAGTTCATACAAGTATATTATAGTAAAATTTACAACTTGTTGTTAATAGTTTCTAAAAATATAAAGATTATATTGGAAATATTATCAAGCATTTTTAATAGGTATTGTTGCATCTTTAAGCCATTTCAAGGCATCATGTTTTCCTAGTTCTTTTAGATAGCCACCAACTTTTTCCAGGCAGAGCATATGGTAATTATTTAGCCATGAAACCTGTAATAAAAAATAGTAGAAGTAGATTAAACATGTTTTAAGAATAATTTATTCAGAGACTACTTTTTTTAATTTAAATTTTAACAATGAAGAGGAAGTAAATTATATACAAAGGGCAAAAAAAGGAACACTCTGAATAATTTCTGACCCAGAGATTAGATCTTCAATTAATAGGACTCAATCTTAATGGTTTAAAGGTGAGATTTCAGTTATGCTAATTAATTAGAGAAGACAATATTTTAGGTAGCAAAATCAGATATAAAGACATATTTTCTCTGAAAAAACATAATTTTTGCACACAATAATTTCATTTGCAAAGATAATTTCATGAAAAGTAGTTTTGAATAATTAATTATTTTGTTTAATTATAGCCATAAATATTTGAATTGTAAAATTTAAATTTTTTTACAACATTTTAAAGAATGTATTTCATATGGCAAAATTCAAATTTTGAACAAAATCAGTTGATTAATTTTGTTACATTTTGTTAAATTGATTAATTTTGTTACATAAAATTAATAAGTTACATTTTTAAAATTTAATTTCTTAGGAACAATTAGAGAAAGTTAGTTCAAATTTTGCAAACTGCCATATAAAATTAAATTTTTTAAATGATGTAGAAATTTATATACTGCAACAATTCAAAATCTTCCCCTTTTCTTTCTTTTCTGTACAGGTCCTGTACAGAAAAGAAACTGTACAGGTCCATATGCAATTACTGTTCTTATTCTATATTTTCAAAATTCTTATCAAAAAGAAAACCAAAAAAGCATAGACATTAGTTATTGCAAATTAATGTTTCAGGAAGAAAGAAAAAAATTATTCAATATATATNTAAAAAAAGTGCAAGTCAATCTACATATATTTTTATTTTTTTAAAATAAAAAAAGTGCGAGTCCATCCACAAATATTTTCATTACTATTATTTAAATATTCAACCTTTTTTTTTACATCAAAAATCTTAACCCGTACTTGTTAAAAACTTTTTCTTAAACAACAACAAAAATAAAATACATTTTTTAAGTGTTCGACAACGGTCTAAAAAATACCAATTCTTAGAACAAGCCTATGACAAGAGAAAAATATAACTAAGTTATCAGAAATTTGCTAGAGGTTTTAGATATTGAGGCATTATATCTACTATTCTATAATCGAATATCGATAAAATAAAACAGCTATTACGTGAGAAACTGCCTGAAAATCTTAAATGGTTTTCTCATTTAGAATGCTGATACCAGTTTAAGCATCGATTTGCGCTAAATCTGTGAGAAATGGTAGATTTTTCTTTATTTTTGGAGGATTTAGTAACAGAAGCAAAGAATAAAAAATTATTGACTTTCGAGATTTATCCCCTAGAGATAAATTAATATATTCATTCGAAGTTTTACTTACATTTTGTTACGTTTTATCTTTGCTTCCAGGACAAAACAATACAAATTATGCTTTAATCAAATAAGTTTTTACGAGTTTTGTTCAAAAAAAAAGCTCTTCTCTAAAAAAAAGCACACATTCGAAATATATTAAAGAAGAAGAAAATTTCTTTTAATATTTTATTTATGCCTTATTTTAGTCACCTTGCATTAAAATATTTTCCTTGTTTCAGATAGTAAAAATATAAAAGAAGAATTTTATGTGGTATTCCGTAACTATCACTCTTGATAAATACCTTTAAAATCATTGCAAAAATGAAATCAGAAGCATATACACATTTGATGTCTCTAAAAATATTATTATTTAAGACAGTGAAAACAAAATCACCTTCTACTAATATAAGAAATCATATTGTTTTCTTGTGCTTTTATTATGTATATATATATGTATATATATATATATATATGTATATATATGTATATATATGTATATATATGTATATATATATATAGACATTCATATGGTAATATAATAATATATAAATATGATTACAATATATATTTTTAAAATTGTTATCAAAAAGAAAATCAAAAAAGTTTAGACATTAAGGGTTGCAACTTAAAACTTCAGGAAAAAAATTAAAAAAATCACACTAATAAAATCTGTAGAGTCACAAGTGAAAAAGGTCGAATGGAAAACAGCAAAATTAGTTTAATTGTTTACTGAAACTTGGAGGTGTTTTGAATAATCTTCTTTCAACTCCTCTCTGTTTCCTTTAGCAATCAAACAGGTTTTGATCTTTCCAGTCTCAACTTCTTCAGTAGTGATTCATTAGATTTCAATAGCCTTTTTTCTCCCTTAAATGTTATTTTTAGACCCCCAACATGCATACTTTTTTGATTTCATTTTTGACTAAGATTATAAAATAACATATTAAAGGTGGTTATTATGGAATATAATTAATATTCTTTGAAAATACTCAATCAAAAAATAATTCGAGCATTTTTAATTTAATGTTCTGATATCATGCAAATAACTATATGAACAGTTATACTCTGATTTTTTTTCCCAATATAATTGTAATATAATAGAGTTCATAAATTTTTGGCATTATACAGCACTTATAGTGAGATGAAGAAATCACCAAGAAAAAAAACAGTATGACATTATAATTTAAATTCATAATTTTCATCATAATAAAAGTGTTATATTTCCTCAATATTAATATGAGAATATCACACAAGCGTGGACAAGTACCTAGTTCTGTTTTCAGGGCTCAATCATTTTAACCAAAATTGTAGGAATGCTCCATAATTTTGACCCCAGTCAGATGATGTGGACAGTGCCTGAGCTGGTACTTCTCTCTCTTTTATTCCTTAACACAACTAATGAGAGTATTTTCAGCCATGACAAATTTAACAAGCACCTTGCTTGTATAAGTTACAGTTGTTTAATTCCCGGTTGAAGTGAGTGATACCTTTACTAACTGAGCTACCAGAACTCTAAACAAAATAATTTTTACTTCATCTTAAATGAAAGACATTTTTTAGACTGTCATTCCTTTATAAGTATTACAAATTTTGTAGTTTTTTTAATTTCCCTTTTCTTAAACTTATATTCATTTTTTAATTTTTATTTTCTTTAAAAAAAAATTCATTTTTGATAAATCACCAATAATGCATCTCCCCATATATTCTAAAGTGTTAGTCAATGCTTTTGCATTATGTCACTTTTGATTTAACTCTTCAGCTGAGAGATAGGGATTTAGTTATTTCTTTTGGCCTTGATTGTTGAAATGCTAATTTTTTTTTATATCTAATTATATATTTTAATTTATTATATTCAGGGTTGCAAAAAACCCAGGTTTTTCTGGGTTTTAATGGGCTTTTCTGGGTTCTATTGGGCTTTTCTGGGTTTTTCATGTTTTAATGGTTTTCTTTTTTCAGAAGAGAGGGCAGGGATAAGTACCTTATTTTAAAAGAGCTTATTTTAATATTAATAAAGTTTAACTTTATAAACTGACTTAACATATAGGTAATTAATAATTAATACAAATACATTGATGCCAAAGTCTGAAAAAAGTTTCTTCTGACATCACAATACAAAATGTTATATGTACTCACATATGTCACACATTTGAAACTTATTTTAACACAGGATTACTTTTAATTTATATTTTAATCTTAAAAAATATTTGAGGAAAATTTTTTTATTTGCATAGAAAGCGAATCAATGGCCATACAGTCAAATCTAGCCAGCAAGGTGATGCTCTAGTCTTCAACACAATAAATTTTTTCACTATAGGTTAATTTTTTTAGGCTAGACTACATATATATTTTAGAATAGCTCTTTGATATAACAGAGGATAAAAAAGAAATCAATCTTAGAAAAACCCACTTTAAGGTGGGTTTTACTGGGTTTTTCAGAGTGGGTTTTACCCAGTATAACCCGGGCGGGTTTTGCTGGGTAGATGGGTTTTCTGCAACCCTGATTATATTCAAACATGGATTATTACATCGATTTACACTGCGTAGTTCTTCATGGAGACACTGATACTTATAGATATTGGGAAGCTAGAAAATTTTTGGTCTTTTGAAATGATTGATTTTATTCAGGTCATTCACACTGTTCTAAATTAAGTGTAGACAATTTTTTGTATAAATTAAGAAGTAAAATCATATAAGAAAAATTCAACTCAAATTTCGTTATTGATAAATATTTTTTTTAAACTTACAAATATTAAATTGAATTAAAGAAAGTAAAACTAAATGTTACCTCGTCAGATGTTAACAAGGAAATGTCAATCAGCTTTGCTTGGAAAGGAAATACTGTTAATGGCTCAAAGGTAAGATATTCTTTGTCTCCAAAATTGTGCTAAAAATAACAGTTTGTTTTAAATAAATAACAAAACAGACATAGCTTACTAAGCTTTTATACATATTTTTAAACTATTATTATTTTATATCGCTATTACAAGAGTATAAAAAGACTTTCGAACTTTAAATAAGAGTCTCAATTGGTAATATTACTTACAGCTTTATTGTCAATAAGATAATTTGTATTCATATTTTTAATATAGTGAATGTATGTTTAAAATCATTATGAGTTTTTGTTAATTTTATATGACATGACAACAAAAATTTCACATTGGGTTGAGACCCCGGCAGCAAAAAATCTTCAGCACAGCAGTGGCACTGCAGATTATTACAGAATCAGCAGAGTTCATTTTTTTTTTTTAAAGAAAACAAAGAAATGAGGGGAAATCACCGAGAGTACTTTTTAAAACATTAATAACTTTTTAAAACATTAAATCTTTGTTATGAATAAAAATTAAAAAGATAAATTAGGAGAAAATAAATTAAGAGGAAAGAAGAATTTTTTTTTTCAGTTACTTAATTACTGGCTCAGCTGCATACGGATTTCTTAAAATTCACCTACAACACAGAGATTTTATGCACAATTTTTAAGGGCCTTATTTTTGCGAATTTTGTTTCATACGTACCAGGGTTGGCAGGTTTTTGACATGTGACAGTTTTTGACAGTTTAAACCATGGTTTAAACCNATTTCAATGCATCATGTTTTCCTAGTTCTTTTAGATAGCCACCAACTTTTTCCAGGCAGAGCATATGGTAATTATTTAGCCATGAAACCTGTAATAAAAAATAGTAGAAGTAGATTAAACATGTTTTAAGAATAATTTATTCAGAGACTACTTTTTTTAATTTCAATTTTAACAATGAAGAGGAAGTAAATTATATACAAAGGGCAAAAAAGGAACACTCTGAATAATTTCTGACCCAGAGATTAGATCTTCAATTAATAGGACTCAATCTTAATGGTTTAAAGGTGAGATTTCAGTTATGCTAATTAATTAGAGAAGACAATATTTTAGGTAGCAAAATCAGATATAAAGACATATTTTCTCTGAAAAAACATAATTTTTGCACACAATAATTTCATTTGCAAAGATAATTTCATGAAAAGTAGTTTTGAATAATTAATTATTTTGTTTAATTATAGCCATAAATATTTAAATTGTAAAATTTAAATTCTTTTACAACATTTTAAAGAATGTATTTCATATGTATATCATATGTATTTCAATTCAAATTTCGTTATTGATAAATATTTTTTTTTAAAATATAAAAAACAAATATAAAATTGAATTAAAGAAAGTAAAACTAAATGTTACCTCGTCAGATGTTAACAAGGAAGTGTCAATCAGCTTTGCTTGGAAAGGAAATACTGTTAATGGCTCAAAGGTAAGATACTGTTTGTCTCCAAAATTGTGCTAAAAATAACAGTTTGTTTTAAATAACTAACAAAACAGACATAGTTTACTAAGCTTTTATACATCTTTTTAAACTATTATTTCATTTGGCTATTACAAGAGTAAAAAAAGACATTCAAACTATAAATAAGAGTCTCAATTGATAACATTACTTACAGCTTTATTGTCAATAAGATAATTTGTATTCATATTTCTAATATAATGAATGTATATTTAAAATCATTATGAGTTTTTGTTTATTTTATATGACATGACAACAAAAGTTTCACATTGGGTGGTGACCCCGGCTGCAAAAAATCTTCAGTACAGCAGTGGGCACTACAGATTATTACAGAATCAGCAGAGTTCTTCTTCTTCTTCTTTTTTTTTTTTTTTAAAGAAAACAAACAAATGAAGGGAAATCACCGGGAGTACTTTTTAAAACATTTCTGAAGTTGTTACGAATAAAAATTAAAAAGAGAAAATAAATTAAGAGGAAAAAAAAATTTTTTTTTTTCAGTTACTTAATTACTGGCTCAGCTGCATATGGATTTCTTAAAATTCACCTACAACACAGAGATTTTATGCAAAATTTTTAAGGGCCTTGTTTTTGCGAATTTTGTTTCGTGCGTATGTTAGATTTAGCTGAATTTTTACAATAATAATCTTTGTCTGATTGCATATATATATATACAGTACTCTCTGGTCTCTTATAAACAACACGATATTTACTTACATCAGTTTCCGCTTTTTTCGCTACAGCAAGATTCTCTAACCTAATGCCAAACTTATTGTCTTCATAATAACCAGGTTCTGAAATTATATGCAAAGAAATATGTAAAAAAAATAAATAAATAAATAAATTAAAAAATAAAATAAATAAAGAATAAATCTTTTTAAAATTAACATTACAATGAAAACAAATTTTTATAATAGAAATTATCTATTATTCAAAATGCAGAAAAAAGTCTATAAAAGCACCCCTGCAATAGCCATTATTGGCCAAGGGGGTTAAGGCTTTACAATTTCATGACTAAACATGATGGTGACAATGTGGTAAATATTGCACATTAGCAGCATTCACTTCTAAGGCAAGTTCTCACCCAATTACCCAAAGCTGGTATGGACCACCGGGGTTCAAAATTACAAACCAGTGCTTTAAATAATATTCCATCCTAGCTCCAAAAGAGAAAAAAATAGCCATGTAAAATTTGAATTTACACAAAACCAACTTTCAGCAACAAGCCTCAATAACACTAATATCTTTCTGTAAGATACTTTTAACAGTAATAAAAGTTCTTAGTGTTTATAACACGTATACAATTAAAATGTTTGCAAACTTTTATTTAATGTGCAACTTTGATCTAAATTTTAATAGAAAGTAAACTTTTTTATTGAAAAACAAGTTAAAATGACTTATTTTTCTACTTTTGTTTCTTTAAAGTTTGAGCTAAAAATAAAACCAAATGAAAAATCTTTCCGCGAAAACTCTGTACTGTCCTGTGACAAAATCATCAGGATTCCGCAACAGATACTACGATTATGATATTTATACATATCTTACAATACTTTTTTATCATCTCAAGAAACCAGGAAAGCATAACTATCATTATGCTTGAATTAGGAATTTTTAGAAGGAGGAGAAAGCTTCAATATGTTTTAAAAATTTCCAAATTTTTGCAGCGATTTTGGAAGTTGATTGTATAAATAAAATTGTGGCACGACTGACCTATGGAAAGGATCATTCCGGATTGGATTCCAGGATCTTCAGCTCTATAACAAAGACTTATCCCACAGGGTCCTATAACGAAAAGAAGTTGAAATGAGAAAAAAATAGTTTTAAGAAATGCCAGATGAGAGAAGAGTTGCTGTCATAACTACCTTCATGCACATTTAAAAAGGATCCTACGCCATGTCCAGTTCCATGTAAGTAATCTAATCCATAATCCCATAAAAATTTACGAGCAAAACTGTCAATTCTATGGCCTGCAAAAAAACAAACAACGCTAAATTGTTGCACAAATATATAGGTTAATACCTATATATTGCCTAATTTCAGAAACAATGGCAATAAAAATCTTTTTTTAAAAAAAATCAGCAATAGTACTTTTTATGTATGATTTTGAAATCCAAATTCTTTTTGACCAGCATCTTTAAAGAATTTGAAATTTACGTAAAACTTTAATATAGCCTACTTATGCAATGCTACTCTCAATGCAACATTTATTCCCTATTTTAATTGAAAAATATCCTGCTATGCTGTTTCTTCAAAGGTTTTTAAACAAAAAATAATAAAATAATCAAAAATTTCCCCACATCAAAGATGGGGAAAAAAACATTACTCTAAAAAAAAAAAAAAAAAANAAAAAAAAAAAAAAAAAAAAAAAAAAAAAAAAAAAAAAAAAACACTTTAAAATCTTTTTTAAGGCAATAAGTATCCTTACATAAATAACTAAATAAAAAAAATAGTCTTGTTTGAAAGCATTAACTCTACACCTAGAAACACGTGCTTATTAATAGGACAAATAATTATTCAATTAAAATAAAACTAGTATTGCTGTTTTTATTATGAAGTACAGGGGATGGACAAAATAATGGAAACACTTCTATACTAATACATTTTTTCAAATTTCTCAAGAAATACTTAAAGAATCATTTTATTACTTCAGAAGAGTTAAGGTCATGTAATTTCTCATACTTATCAATGAAGTTTAAAGCCTTTTAGAGGTTTGAGGGAACCAACAATAAATTACAAACAGAAAATAGTGTTTTTGAACACCCTATGCTAAAATATGTAGCAATAAATATGTGACTTATAACCAGTAATAACCAATACTTAAATAAAATAACCAATTACTTTGGTTATTTTTGCAATAATTTCCCAAATTTTTGTAAGTCAAGTTTAAACATTTATGGAGATATGGACATTTTTATAAAAACAAATTTTTTTTTGTCTCACGTTTTTCTGCTGTAATTTTAAAAATATTCAATAAAATGAAACAAAATTCTTTAGAGCAATTTAAAATTAATTATAAAACACTTACACTTTAAAATTAGAAACAAATTCATTGAAAACCGAGTAATATATAAGTAATGAAAGTAGCTATTTTATACTATTTTATATTTTCTTTCCTTTTTGTTTCCTTTTGTTTTTGACATATAAAAGCTATAATACCACATAAAATTAAAAAACTGCAAGAAAATTTTCAAAGACTTCACCTAACAGTTTTTTTAGACATTTCAAAAAGTATCAAAGTTTAATTTTTTAAAGTATAATTTTTTAATATTGTTATGCATGATATAATTAAAATTTGACTAAGAGAATTTTTTTCACATGGTAGAAAAAAGTATTATCATATCATTTTCATTCTTTTCTAAAACTACTTGAAATTTTAAATCATGCACAGTAAGTAAGCACATTTAATTCAAGTGATAAAAGGTTTTAAAAAAGAGTTTTCACAGTTACAATGCTGAAGCATCGAAAAAGTATAACTGAACTCGAAATAGCAGAAATTATGTAAAATATTCTATATTTATTCTGAAATAGACAGTACTGATAGTGACACAATAATGTATTCTGATCATAAAGCAGCTTTGATGTAAAGAAACGCTAAGATAATTAGATGATGATGCCTCGTTTAATCCCATTTCCAGAAAAATCCTACAAATCGGCTAATGAGTTATTACAAATGCAAAGATTGCAGCATAGGGCTGCGTATAAATTCTAGATTTCAAATTTCTACAAAAAAAAATTTTGAGTAGCGTATTTTGGTGTTCTGAAAAAAAAATTGTATAAACAATGTAAACAAGAAAAACTCAAATATGTAAACAAAAAATATTGATACAGTATGTGTTGTTTCTCAACATTACAGTACATTAAAGAACACCTTCATATTTTGGTAATCTCAAGGATTTTGTCTTAGCAGCAAAAAAATTCCAGCCCTGGACAGGTACTGGCAAAAACAATTCCTAACTTCAGTGCTAAGTGCGTACTTGCAACTTTTGTTGTGAAAGAGTTAATAGAAACTAAAGGACATTTTTACCAAATCTAGAGTGGAATATAACCAGTAAACAGCAGGTTTGAAATTAAAATAATAGCTAAATAATTGTTTGTAAAAAAATAACAGATCAAAATGTAGAGTTTTATAGAAAATTTGAAAAGAAATTAAGATGGAAAGAAATGAACTGATCCTAATTTTTTTCCTTTTGAATATTTTTTATAACCTTAGTTCAATTCTTGCTTTGTGTTAGCAGTATATGCTGGCCGAACTTTAACAGGATTGTAGCATCAGCAAAAGAAATAAAGCTATCATGTCTTACATAATGCGATAGATGTTAAAAACATTCAAGGAGAAAAAAATTCACAGTAAAACCAATCTCCCAGTGTTAGGCTATGAAAACTGTTTACTTTAAATTACTAGTTTAGTTAAATTGTTTAAATTCAAGAACTGTAAATCGTAAAATTCTGATTGTTTTAGAAAGCTAAGGAACAACAGATTAGGAATTTCATAAAACAAATACCTCAGAAATTTGGTTTAAAAATATGTAATGTTATTAATGTTTAAAATTATGTTATGCTATAATGTATGATTACCTCAGTATAAATTTAATATCTTATTATTATAAAATAAGTACAACATATTTTTACCTGTACATTTTGCTGGAAAAATAGCACGTGTTAGAGCAATATGACCTTTAAGTACCAAGGTGTAAGATTTCTAAAAAAATTACACTGTTATTAATACTTGGAAGAACATAAAGAATAATTTAAGAACAGGAACTTTTTTAAAAATAATTTACTATTTCCATGGGTGTTGGCTCACCAAAATGCCATGTTCTAGTAACATCAGTTGTTCCATCCCTAAAATAACACAAGATAAAGGAATTAATTGAGACTTTAGAGAAATAAATAAAATGAATTTTAATAACACATAGCTTAAACAAAATTGATAAGAAACTAAATTAATTGTGCTTAAAGAATTTGCATTTCAGTTAAATGTGGCTTCTAAGTCTTAAATTCTTTTTGGCCAAAAGCATAAATTTCTTCTCAATCTCTGAATTGTATTATAAGTGATATTTAACATTCTCAAGGGGAAAGAAAATCTAATGAAGCATCAAAACAGAAAGACTTTTAAAAAATACTTTATTATGCAAATTAATTGCAATGGGCTATTTTTTTAAATACTCTATAAGGCCAGTATAGTCAAATGAACTTTAAAACATAGCTTGAAACAAATGTCTTGGGTTTTTTCTTAGAAAATGACACTGTGAGACTTGGTCAGTTCAACCAAACACATAGAAATATTACGTCATCAGGATATTACATACATTCAGGTGTTTAAGGGAGCTTAGACACTTGTCATAATTCAAAAATGGTTAACAACTACAAAATGGAAAATCAAATGCTGATAGGTTTGCATGGAAATTGAACATACATGGAGCAGATTTTATACCACAAATAAAATAATATGTTTACCTGTATTGTGTTCCACAATCACAAAGATATATTTCAGAAGGATCTAATTTTCTATTTGTTTCCTTTGATGGTTGATAATGAATAATAGCAGCATTAGGTCCTGATGCAGATATGGTGCCAAAGCTCAAACCAACATAATCAGTTAAATCTCTTGTAATAAAGAAATAAATAAATATATTAATAGGTAAAGTATAAAAACATACTGCAGCTATCTATAAATATAACTAATTTTCTAAAATTTTATTGTAAAACACAAATACAAAAAGTAATACAGTAGAACCCAAAACAATGCAATGTGCACAAGACTAAAGGCATGTGAGAAATTTAAAATAGTTATATAACAGTAATGACTTTTTCAGACTATTTATCAAGTACTTAAACATTAAAGTATGGGAAAAACTATAAAAATAAGGTCTATTTTAAAGTAATATAAGCGAAAACTTTCTTTTAATTTCTTTCTTGTATTATAAAAATGTTAGGGTCATTATTGTCACCATTTTCAATGTTTGATATTGTGATATAATTTGCTTCGCAGAAGCTTGTAACCTTTAGAAACTTGAAATTTCACAGGAGGAAATAACATTATAAAAAGAAATAAAATAAAAAAATAATTAAATCTTGGTAATTATTTCAGGAATTTTTGTAATTCGTAGTCATCATTACAAATGAAATGAAAAAGAAGTCTAACATTTTAAACTTTTGTTACTATTCATATAACTATTTTAAAAAATTATTTGTTAAAATTTTAAGTTAAAAGCAACCTACTCAAATTAATTTAGTTGGAAGTCTGGATAGATTTGGGCTAAATTGGGTGTTTGTCACAATATTAGAGATCAAATTCATTGAAAAAACTAAAATAAGCCAAAAAAACTGCAGTAATTCTCTATCATTATCATTTATTAATAAAAAATAAATTAATAAAAAATATTCTGCTTAAATGCTAAAATTCTTCAAAAATATTGTTGAAAAAATGCTGTTAAAAAAATCACAATGAAGCCAATAATTCTTTGAATAAAGAGTGGTTATAGTCCAGTCTACAGTGCTTAAAGAAATATTACTGGTTCTAGCCAGCTGAAGTCGAACAAGCATTTATTCTGTTATAGAGGTATATTAGGCTTAAATACTATAATACTATTACACTTTAATTAAAAATTGAATAAATTGAACACTTTTAATAAATAACAAATTTGACTTGACTTGTATAGTCTTTATTAATAACTAATTATAATTATATATGTTAATGAGGCATCATTATACTCATAGCTGTTTAAAATTGAAATAAAGAAATAATACTGTAAAATGTAAAGAACATATTTAGTTATTCTATTTCCTTTAAAGGAATTTAGCTATTAAGGATAGTTTTGGTACAAATTTGATTGAACATTCCTCCTTTTTCTCCGCATTAAATGGAGTGTTATAATATTTCCCATCACATTACAAATGATGACACATTGCTGCTAATGAATTAAAACTTCATTAATTGTTGGTGTATGGTCAATATGTCCAACTACTGATATTGGTTTGGAGCAATACACAAATAATGGGGTTAGACTACTCAAATTACTACTTTTTGTATTTTTGTGTTCATAGTTGATGCACTGCTAAAGAGAATTCTATTCTAGTTAGTGTTACTGAAAATTAAAAAGGCTTATTTTGTGAACAGTGAACAAATTCTAATTTTGTATCTCCTTGATATTTTATTAAGCGGTGAAGAACAACAAAAAATAATTTGGTACTATTAAATTTTATGTCCAGGAGCAGAATATTTCATTATTATTCATGCCAAATAGAAGGGTTGACTGGACTATAACTAGATAGCTGAACATTTTTTGATTTTCCTTTTACATTTTTTATTACTTAGTCATCTAGTTATAGTAGACTTGAAATGTTACAACTAGATAGATCTACAACTTACCATACATGGAACAAAGCAATGGGTATTAAAAGTAGACAATTCTTAATAAAAAAAAAAACATTAGCTCTTATTTTTCCAAAACCGGATCAAACTAGTTATAGTATAGTACTATATTCAAAATACGTTTCATAATAGGACAACAGTAATTATTACAGAAGTAGTGGTTTTAAAATCTCCGTTAGAAAAACCCATAATAGAGTATTTTTTTTTAAACAGAGGTCTAAAAATCATCATTTCTGTCATAACTATTATTTAACATATAAATGAAAGATGTTAATTGAAATATTATAACTAAATAATAATAATCTAAATATAAATAAAATTACTTTTTAATAGCTTCTAATTTGTCAGCAGCACTTATCTCAGTTAAGTTTCCAGTTGATATTTCCAGAGTAAGCCAATGGAAAAATTCAGAAAGTGCAGCACCGTCTTTTATCTACCAAAAGTTACAATACAAGATCAATAATACTAAAAGAAGCAAACATTTAACTAAAAAATTAACCTGTTTAAATCCAAATTAAATCAAAACCAATTTGCTTGGTACATTAGGCAATGTTAGGTTTTCTGATTGAGATGAATAGCACAAAAGCCAGAATTAGTTGAACATTGCGAAAAAAAGGACCACCCTGAATAACATTTGATCGGACCTTCACTCTATTAATTAGCATATTTGAGGTTATCCCCTCAAGACATAAAGATTGAGTCCCAGAACGCCAAAATTCGATCAATGGATTAAAAGTTATTCAGGGTAGTCACTTTTTTTAGCACACTTTACATTAACAACTGCATAAGAAAATTATGTACTAAATAAAAGTACTCTAATTTTATGTAAGAGGAAAAAATTCAAGGAAGAGAGACATTTCCTTTTTTTCTTCTTCTCATCCAGATCGTATAGTAATCGGGATAGTTTACTTATTATACTAATAATAACTTATTTTTACTGAAAGATAGCAAAGCCCATTACAGTGATATTTTCTAGTTTATGTTAGTTGCGCCAATATCATGATATCTTTAAGTTAAACAGATTACAAATGTTCTAAAAAAAGAAAATAATAAAAAAATTAACTCTTTATTTCAGGATCATTAAAGATACATCTCAAAACACAATAAAAAATTATCACATCAAGGATAAATTTTTTATGTTAAATAATTATTTAACTTATTTATTATGCAGAAATTACTACAACTTTTAAGCAGACTAAACAGAAACTCAAACACATTTTTCACCTCCTAGGACATGAGAAATTTATATGTATTTGATAAAGTAGTTTGAATTGACTGCTTGTGTTGCTAATTGTAACTTATAGGATATTGAGAGTTCAAATGATCTATATTGCAAATCATGGTTAATGGATGTGATGTCTATTTAAGTTGCTCTGCTTTTTTTTAATCAACTTTTACAGATGCTAAAGTAGGTCTAAAAAAAATCTAAAGTTTGTATTCTTTACACTTTATTAATTCTGGGGTAATCAACCATTTGCTTACTATGTGCCAATTTTTTGAAAGTAGAGTTCAGATGCGACACACGATTTGAACTTTGCACATATATAATTGATTCGTTTTTATTTAAACTTTTTTACTCAGTGTCTTTAACCATCAAACTCGTGGTAAAGCAAAAGATCTAAAAAAGGCAATAAAATTTTACTAAAATTAAAGAAATTAAATATAATACAATAAAAAACAATATCATAAAATATAATAAAAAAGAATATAATAAAATAGAATGTAATAAAATAGAACAGAACAAAATAGAATAAAATAAAATAGAATAAAATAAAATGTAATAAAACAAAGTAAAATAAAATAAAATATAGCAAAATCAAATAGAATAAAATATGATATAAAAATAATAGAATAGAATAAAAGAGATTAGTAAGAATACTAAAATATCAATAAAAACTAAAGAGAATCAGCGGCTTCTCCTAAGACCAGAACTAATTAAAGAACCACTTGTAATCATCCAATGCATATTCCACTCGATATGGTGCTACATTCTTTATATAATTTCAGAATTTTTTTTCAAAATCAAAATTACCCTAAGATCATGAGCTTGGTTAAAAGGTCTATTTTTTCTGTGGCTTAATAGCTTAGATTATTGATAACAATATAATTCACTACAATCGAACAATAAATCCATGATGGCGAAAAAGGAAAACATGTTTAAGTGAGGTGATTTTTATCAATTTTCAAATTTGACACATATTTTTTTTTAAAAATATGTTGGAGTAAACAAAATTTTAAAATTCAAACATAAAAGTAACATTCTAGTTAATGTAAAGTTATTAATAAATATTTAAATATGTAAAAATTACGTATTGAATATTAAACAAAAAATATGAAAGTAAAGTGATTTCTAAGAAAATGAATAAGTTAAGGTAAAACAAAATATAGCTGTTTGAAACAGAAAAAAGAGATAAGAATCAGCCACACATACTATTAAATAATAATTTGATGTAAAAACATTCTATAATACTACAAAACTTACGTGAGCAATACGAGCGCCATTGATTTCTACATCATTTTTTATACCCTTTAGCATCTCTACAGGTGTGGTTTTCATAAATCGATAATTCTGCAAGTACATTGATAGAGAACTTACTTGCGAGAGAAAAAATTCAACAATCTCAAAATTAAGAAGAAATCTAACATTATATTGATATGAGTGTATACATTCTAAGGCATGGAAAATAAATAAATTATACCACAATAATGCATAATCCTGATGTATAACCAATTGTTCTTATTTTAGGTAATAAAATTATTATTTTAGGTATAGAATATTTAATCAGGCTCAAATTAAAACAAACATAAAAAGTAATTTTAAAAGTTCTTTTTCCTTTCATTTTATGGAATTTGCCTTCAGAGTATTTATTTATTATCCTTTCTCTTTCTTTTTGACAAAACAATTTATTTCTGAAACTTTTCTGAACAAATCTTCTGGTATAAACTAAAATAAATACTATTCTGCCTCACTGCAAAATTGATACGATTTTAATTATTAATTTCTTGAAATTTAAAATGAATTAAAATTTATTTTATGATTCGACATAAAGGTCTACAGAAAATTGTCTGCTTAAAAAACGCCCTGTTTTTATTAATTGCAATAATTGTTTTTAGCAACAAAAAAAAAAGAAGATAGATTAAAGCTAATTTTAATTGATGAAAGACTAAGACAGCACGTTTGAATGTACAACAAATTCTGAATAGTAATAGAAGAATAATTATCCAGGGCAGCATACTTGTTTTCCCTCTCTAATATATTTTCACATTCTTTTTACGATTACTTTAAAGGCAGTTCCACCAGCTAGGAATTTCCAAACTTTAAAAGCATGTAACTTAGTTAAAATAAATCAAGCAGTTTTGATAATCTTTGTGAAAATAAGTCTTGACGTTTATATTTTGCAACGCATTTAAATCTTGCAATTACATTTGTAAATGGTGGATTTGCCCTTAACTATGAAACACAAAAGACAAATGACATAAACACACTACTAAAACACAAATGAATAAATTGTTAGCAAAAACAAAAAAAAAAATTAAAAGGGAAGTTTTTTCACGTTATCTGGAATTTACCACTTCATATTTGTTAAATAACATGCAAGAAAATTATAGTATTGATAAAAATAAAAATACTTTTTACCTTAGGGATGAGTGAAACGATGCCGTAACATGTTCTCTGATTAAACTATAAAACAAACAATTATTAAAAGCTTAAACAAACTGCTAAAAGTATGGTTAATTTTTCAACTTTTAGTTTAACAAAGAGATTTAATTTTTTCAACAGTGTATATATGCATATTCTTTAAATAAACGTATTTTTGAGAGAAAAAATAATAACTTATCATATAAATTGATATCTACAGCCAAACCTAAATATCACAAAATTTTTACATATTGCAAAAAGATTTTAAAGCTCTTTTTGCCAAATACATTTCTAGGTGAGCATGGATTTCATGAAATACTTTGGTCTCCAAAATTTTTTTTCCTATTTAACTGCCTTTGATTCCCTAATAATTTTATTTGTTCCCTTTCTAATCCCTAATTTCCCTTTCCAATCTTTTTCAAAAATAGCTTGGTAAATATAAAATGCTTTTGTAAATTTCAATTCCTATAATTTTTTTTGGAACAATTTTATGAATCATAACTTGGGACCAAAAAAGGAAAGAGATTGTCATGTTTGAAGTTGCCTGAATCAATCTATTTCTTAACATGCAAGATGTGTGTAAAAGTAGGCTTATCCATTCATAAAATAGAAAAGAATTTGTTAATTTAATCCAAAAGAAATGAATATTTATGAGGAGGTTGCAGTTTATATATTCAGGGATAGAAGAAAAATGTTATATTTATAATAAAATATAGGACAACTAAAATTATCACTTTATGAATATTTTTTAAGTATAATCATAATTATTTAATAATTATAATTTAATCTTGTTTCAAAGTTTTAATTAAATTTACAGCATTAAGTTCTAATTAAAGATTTTTTTATAAGGTAATATGAAATATCTCATTAATTTTTAGAGTAAAGTTTTGTCAACCAAAAGTAAATAGGCACAGCAAATATGCACTTAATTTATTTATATTTAAAAAATAAAATGTTATTTATCTTATGCTTATTTATTTAAAAACTTAAGGCAGATAAGCTTTTTGAATGCTAAATTTGTTGAGTATTTTATCACTATAACAGGGACCAATAAAATATATTTCAATGCTAATAAAATTTAGTTTATATTAATTGTTTGTTTATATGCTTTTGTAATATGTGATGTGGAGCCAAGATAAGAAATGCTTCAATGCAAACATTTGGTGTGGCTGGTGTTGTTCGTTTCACTGCGAACAGCAGCACAGGGTAAACTGAAGTGGATTCAGTCGGTTGAGTTTGGGACAGGACGAGAAGATGTAATCAGCGGCTCTACCATGTTTCCCGGTGAGTATAGGTTGTTTACCTCCTTTTTCTTATTTTATTTCGTAATCAAGAAGTATTTGTAAAATAAAGGAACTGATCATTGTATCGAATAAACTAAAGAAAATGCTATTAATTTAAATATCATTTAGCAAGATTAAATCTTTACTTTATATGCATTATTATTTAATCCTAATCAGACTTAAGTTTCTAGGATTTAATTTATGAAAAATAGTTTTTGCAATTAAAAAGCAATAAATGAAAAGTATTTTATTAAGAAAATATTTAATAAATATTTTTTTTTCATTTACTATTCAATTGTTGGACTTTAGTTCTCTCAAAAATTAGGTATAAAGTGATAATACTAAATTTTATCACTTAATTATTAGTTATTTAATTATCATTTAATTAACTTAAAATTATTCATTTACTTAATATAATACTATATTTCGTGATATTTAACATAATAAATGTATAAATACTGGTTTGAGTTATTCAATAAGCTGATTTGACGGATCTCTGAGATTGTCAAAAGAGCTCTCTAAATAAGATCCACTCAGAATATTTTGAATACATTTGAATCTACTTATTTGTTTTGTTAATATTTTTTTGTTTTGATAATTTTTCGTGTTTCTTTATTTGCTCTTTTCCACATTTGGTTCAAAAGTTCGCCCTGTAGCTGGGAGAGGTTTTGATGGTCTCTCCTAATAGTTTTCTTCAATACAAAGTCTGTGGAAAAAATTCCATGCTCCCCACAAATGATCGTAAATACAGGTGGTCGCTACACAGATATGGTCTTTCCTGGAGGTTTCACTGTATAATTATAATTCTTATAATCATATAATATGGCTTGATATAAATTTATTCGTTAATAAAATTATCATTTCAGATTTGAGAGTTTAAACTTAATAATTAACTCAAAAATAAAAATATAAAAACAATTAAGTTGTGAATTACTTATTACTTAACAAAATAATTATTTATAACCCACAGATAGAAAAATAGTTTGAGAAAAAAACTTACCCAAACTCTGCTTTTCTTTTCTTTAAATAATTCTTTGAGAGTTTTAACAACATTTTCATAGGGTAAAATTTGTAAATTCAAGTTTTTAAGGTCTGACAAACTATTTTTGGCAGTCTCAGAGAGCTTCTTGGAGTCAATGAAAAGACTAAAATATAATTATTACTGAATTTATAACATCTATACTTATTAGTTCATTATATCACACACAATAGTATCATATGATATTTGTTAATTAAATTCATTATAATTATTTTTTTCGTATGAAATTTATAATTATGAAAAACTTGCTATGAGAATTTTCAAACAACTAGGTTTGTTTTTGTCTTTCTAAACCAAGATCTTTAATGATCTGTTTTAAGTGTAATAGATCAAAATCATTACTAATATTAACATTGTTATATACATGTAGTATATCTATATATAAATATGTGGTGAACTTGGTTTCATGGTTCCTATAACCAGTTAGTATTGAAATATGTAATAATTAGAATCCAGCAGAAGATTTTTTTTCCAGTATAAAAAACTTACTACGCACAATATTTTAAGTTAAGTATTTTTCTATTTTTCCTACTTTACCAAACTTTCTACTTCTTTACTTGGCAAAGTTAATTGGAAAAAAAAAATTGTTTATGAAATATCTTTTTGAGTATAATTGTTAGCAAAATTACAAATCCGTAACATGCTAAAAATAATAAAATAAATAAAGAGACAATTCAAAGTTGCAAACAATAACAAATAAAAACTACAGGTCTAGTTCACCCCCTCATATTTCATTATTAATCTAATCTTTTAATACTTTTTATTCCCTTAATGCTATCCATTCTCTTAATTTTATTAAACATGCATTGAAAACTAATTTTGCTTTAATAAATAAATGATACTTTAATGAATATTATTTTTAATAAATATTTAATGAAAGAAAACTTATTGAATCCATGAAGATTACATAAATACATGCATCGAAGTGTATATTCCTGCTTAATAACATGTTAAGTAAAGAAATTAAAAATCTAAAACATAAAATTCAGAAATATTAATAAATAAAAGCAGTTTATTTCAAAAAAAAAGTTTCAGTATTCTCTATATTAAATCAGTCAGAACTATGTCTAATAATTATACATTTTGATGAACAGTTGACATTTCTCATTCATGAGTTTAAAATATTATTTACCCAATAAATTAATTATTGAAAAAAGAAAATCACTCACTATAGAGAATCCAGAGTCACAATTGCATATGAGAAAAATACAGGATTAAAAACAATATCTGATCCCCGCAGATTAAAAAGCCCTGAAAAAAGTATAACATTACTAAAACTTGAATTGTTCAGATATTTAATTTTGAAATAAAATTCTACAATAGCATAATAAATTTTAACCAGAAAAATTGTTTCATAAAAAAGATTTAGAAGATAAAATTGTACAACAAAACTTAACACTGAAAAAATATTTGTTTAATTTGATTAACACTTTTAGCAAATTGAAGTATTAAAAAGTTATATTTATATAATTTAGAAAATTTTTAAAAATTTGAACTTTTATTTTGGTTTATTACTTTTTAATTAAAAAAGTGAAAATAAAGTTCCGAATAACTTTCAAGGAAAAAAATACAATGAGTATTGCAACCAAACAATTTTATTAAAAGAAAATTATACCGTTCCTCAATTAATTACTTTGAAATTTCTGTCATAATTGATTTGTTAATTTCAATTGTTTTAAAAGAAAATAATAAAAAGAATTAATTAATCAAGTTTTTTGAAACGACAAAGCTAAATTCTATAAGATTTGCAGCTGCATTAGTTACATCAATAAATAAAAGATTCATCTATTCATATTTTTTTTTAAATCTAGAAAATAAGATATTGAGTGTTTTTCTTTATGCAATATCTCAAGAGAACTGAAAACTATTAAAAACCACAAATATAATAACACAAACAAAAAACCCTTAAATACATTGTACAAGTAAAGCAGGGACCATCAGGTTTAATCATAACTTCAGGTTTGCAATTAAATTATATTAAGATTAAATTATATGAATTAAACGGAGATGGAAATTTTGAAGTGATAAAACTTTGTTGTCTCAAGTCCCCTTGGAAAAACTTAATATGTAAACAATTTCCAAATTCAAAAAATAACTGTTATATAAATTATTTAAAAGAGGAGCAATAGACCAAAACATTAAAAAGCTGATTTTAGAAGGAAAATAGGACAATTTTAGTTGCAACTAGTTTTATTTTCAAGGCATTGTATTCAAGTTAATTTAGGAATCTTAAATCTCTAATTTGGGTGCAGATATCATCATCATTTGAAATATGACAACCCAGGGTGGGCCAAGGCTTTCTCCTGAAGAGATTTCCAAACTATGCTCTGAGTGACAATGGTTCTCTAATACATAACATTTAATATTCCAAAATATTTCTCAACTGCAGTTTGGGTTGTCCTCTTCTCATTTGTCTCTGTGGCTTTGCAAAAACAAGCCTTCTTATTGGGTTTTAATCATGCATTCTGAAAACATGCACAACACACCATTAAGAAATCCATTGATTTGATAAAATAATTATGATAAAATTTTAAAAAGATTGTTGAGCAAAACTGGGTTCAAATATACTTTAATAATTATTTTCAAACTATAGACTACAGTTTTCTGTTATCTATAGAAGACATCTTTTTTTCTTCATTATTTTAACATTAATGTCACAAAAAACTTGACAGCAAAAAAAAAAAAAAAAAAATTTAAAGCTACATAATTCCTATTATGCTAATATAAACAAATATCCAGTGTCTTCATCATAGAAAAAAAATGGGTGAGAATTTCTCACCCTTTCTCAAAAACAGGGTGAGATTTCAAAAAGTTAAGTAAGATTTCTAAAAACTAAAAAAACACAAAAATCTTGAAAAAAAATCATTTTTTTAATTACAATACAATTTTAACGTCTTCTATTTTTTAAAGCATTGAATATTTTTGGTGCATCATCATAGAAGATTTTGCCTTTACAAGGTATTTGTCCATCTTACATAAGTGCATAAAAAATTTGAACGTCTTACATGAAGAAACCTTACCTACGGTAAACACGTGGTTGCAGAGAAATGTGTTCTGAAAGGGGTTCCGTGGTTGTGTTCTGTTGTTCGAAAAGTTTCTGAACAATACTGGTAAATAGGGAGGCTAGATAATGGGGCAGATGTTGAAAATAATGAAAGATCCAGGAAGAAAAGTGAAACGGATTTTATTCTAAATGGCGTAATTCGAAGCTTTTTCCAAAATGCGAGAAATTCGCGAATTTTGAAATTGATTTATAGAATGCGCGAATTTCTCGCGGTAATCATTTTTTAATGCGAGAAAAGAAAAAAATATGCGAGATTCTAGCGTTCTCGCGCTGTAGTGAAAACACTGATATCTATTTAATATAAAATATTTATTAAAATTCATATTTATTAATTATTTGATATTTTGACCTCATCATATACACAGAAATACAACCATTTATAGATGCTTGCAAGACCACAAAGGAAAATATCATCATGGGGGCCAACATAGGTAGTGTAAGACTTTAATTGTAAAAGCCAAGCCTCATAGAGAGCCAAATAAAAAATAAAGACCACATATTATTCCAACAACAAATAAAGACAACAAGAATCAGGACATTTTTTGGAACAGTATACATATCCCAGACTATTTTTAAGAGCAAACGACACACTAATTTGCTCTACTAATAATTTGCCTCAGGTACATAAGTATATAAAGGCAAGTTTTATCTCAAAAGAATAAAATATACTATTTTTAAGTTCAGAAATACTTTGTTTAGAGTAAAAAGTTTTATCAGATTCCAGAATAATTTTTTCAATGGAGCATAAAACAACTTAATATTTTGAGAAGAAAATTTTAAAAATTGTACATTAAAAATATAACTAGGTTACATTTTTAGATGCCAATAATCTATATTAGTATAAAACGCTAATACGTATGTCTCAATAAAACCGATGATATTTCTTTTCTCGCATTGGCAACAGTTTTCATTTTTAATTGATAGGCTTCGGCCCGCAAGAGCACGTAGTGAGCATCATATGGCTAATCTATATTACATAAAACGCTAATACGTTTTAATTGATAGGCTTCGGTGCGCAAGAGCACGTAGTGAGCATATCATATGTCTAATCGGGTGAATTCTTATCGAATTATCAAAAAATATCTCACAAAATTATGTTCATCGAAGCCGATGGTTTACATCAGTACTATTTCATATTGTTTTACAACACATGGTTTCAGCCCTCTGGCGGGAAAGACTTTAAAACAAAATTTACAAAAGTTACTTTTCTCAACAACTGAAATTTAGAATAGTGTGATTAAGAAAAATATGTGAACTGTTTGCAATTTCAAATTAATATTGAAATGCACAGGTTCAGAATTTTCTACAGTTAAAGTTTTCGGAATTTCAGTGTTCCAAAAAGTATACAAAAGCTAGACGTTAAGAACGTATTGAATGTGCAAGCAAAGCGAGCATCGGATTGCGAAACAATCCGAAATGAACTGCGAAAGCAGTTCCGGGGGTTGACGAGCGCCAGCGAGCAGGGGGCGAAGCCTCCTAGTTAATTAAAATTTGCAATCAAGTTTATCATTTCCTTAATCATTACTTTTCAAAATTTGATGAAAGAGACAAAGCAATAACTGTGAAACCATAAAACTCCAACCTACAAATTTGTTATCGCATTTGCTGAAAATAATGAATATGTGTATGACCCTGGAGTTTATCATCATAAAAACTTAATAATGAGAAATTGGTTTTTGAATTTCTTTTTCTGTATTTCTAAAAAGGTTTGAAACAATTAATCCTACGGATAAGGAAACATACCTGAATTATTAATACAATTATTGGACAGACCTCAAGATTGAATAATCCAATTTTGTGATTTCTTCTAGTCTAAATTATTGAAATAAAAAGGTGTTGGATTAAAAACCCAAATCTGCAGATTCTTCAAGTTGATTATTTTGAAATTTGCATTTATATTTCCAGAAAATGAGATGTTTTGAACACTCACAAAAATCAGGAATATCAGGACAAAACATTTTTCATAAGGAATATCAAAAAAACTCAGATCCATGTATTAAGTGTTAACTCTTTGCACTTCGAAGTAACTATCAACAGTCACCTCCATAATTAAAATTTTTTATACCTTAATAATTAGTGATCACATTTTTTGATTCGAGTTTCATTTGTTATTACTTTATAATCGTCGACTTTTAATATGTATATAGCTCATTGATTGTATTTTATGTACTCAGATTTTTACTCATTAACTATTTCTGTATCTCATTATTACCCATAACCCTATGGATGCTCATACTTACGACATTCGTGGTGTGGTCAATTGACCTCCACAAGCATGCTTGTGCACGCTCCTCCTTTTCTTTTTTATTCACTTAATTTCATTTCAACTAGGTATTTTTAATTTCGTCAATTATCCATCGTCTCCTATTTCAGACGAATTGGTTTATGGCTGCGTTCAGCGGCAGCAACCAAGTTCTTGCAATCTTCGCAAATTATTTTATGAATTTTAAAAACTATATACAAAAATACTGTATTATGTATTTTGAATGATTTAATGTTTATATTAGTTCAAACAACATTTTAAAGTACTTGGTGCACAAAGGGTTAAGACAATATTTTAAAATCACATTAAATGATTTACAAAGGTATTTTTCTGTTATATTTACAAAGGTGTATATTTTTTTTATTCAGGTACAAAAAATCAAAACAAATAAAGTTATAAGATCATATAGCAAAGTATTACAATAAAGTTATGGGTTAAAAAAAATTTATTCATCCAAAACTTAACAGTTATTAACAAAACTTAATGAATCTTAACAATTATAATTAAATTTTTTTATTTACATTACATAGTATTAGATTACTGTGATAGTTATAATCAAATTAATTTATAGTAATTGTGAAAATGTCTATTATTTAATTCATAAGAAATAATATTTGCACACTAAAAACAGAAGATAGTGACATATAAACATAACAGTTACAATCTGATACTCCAGAAAGGTCTTAAATATTTCAGTAACTTACTATTATAGAGTTTAAGTGGAAAAAAATATTTGTTGTTCTTTTTTTTCCTTTCATATTTTTATCAATATTTAAGATATTACACATGTTAAGTGAAAAAGCTTGTGGGCTTCTTCTGTCTCACAGTCCCCAGATTGTGCAACTCTGTTTAAATGCAAAACATCGAAAAAAAAAAGAATAAGAAACATTATACTAAATTAATAAAAAATATAAAAACCATACTTACAAGCTACTTCATCAAGAGCAGTAATAACCAGAATAGAAGCTTTTTGCTTAATCATCTCATTTCTTACTTCTGATATTTTTTCTTCAACACCTTTACCTACAATAACAGAAAGATTAGCATGGGTGGTTGTGATACAAAGTGAAAAACCCTGAAAATCCGCAAAAACTTGATAACAGGATAACAATTTATAAACTATTCATATTTAATAAAAAATTTTGAACTAAGAATTATAATTAAATTACATACCAATGAAGACTGTTACACTTTATAGTAACTAATTTAATAAAAAAACTTTTCTTTTAAGAACAGGAAAGTACAAATCACATTTATACAAATAGCAATATTGAATTTTTAAATCACATGAATACGAATCGGGATGTACGATTTTTAAATGGCGTGAATTAGATTCATAATGTGTAGCTTTCAAATCAAGTAAATACGAAAAGCGAGAAATAAATTTATCTTAGAAGACTTTTTGAAAAGTATCAGAATAGCAAAAGCATAGGGAGTTTTGGTTTATTTGTGATGTTTAAAATTTAGTTATTTCAAAGTTCGGTTCAATGACAATTCAAAATTTAGTTACTTTAAAGTTTCTATACCACATGCTTGGTTTCATAATCAACTCAGCCTATTACTATATTATTTTTTTTAATAAAAATGTATTTATCTCATTCCTTGTTTTCTCTTAAAAATAATAACTATTTTTATTTATTAATTTTTTTAGTGTATCAGATAAATAAAAGTATAAAATATACAAATACTTTTTATATTAATAAAAGATATTTGTCATTGCCATGATAAAACAGATTCTTTTCATCTTGTTTGAAAAATTTCAAAATTGATTAACCAAAATAAATTACACCTATATGACTTCATATTTTTGGATGAAAATAAGTGTGAAATAAGCACAACTTTGACTTACTCAAAGTTTTAACTAATATTCTGAAACAAATATTGATCACAATTAAAAACAGTGTCGACACCAGTATGGTGATACAGTAACAAATTGCCACTTAAATATCAGTGGCAAGGCGACAAATTGGTCACTTGAAATATTTCAAAAATCTACTTTTTGCATTATTTTCACCCTAGAGTGAAAAATTTGCACACTTCATAAATTGGTTTCAAAAATACAGGAACTTTTCAACATTTTGAAAATTCAGCACACTTTTTCATTTATAATACAGTATTAATATTGGAATTAAAATAACCATTTTGTATGCGTGGATTCAATTGTAAATCAACATTCTTTTTTTTTTGGGGGGGGGGCGACTAAAATACTGGTTATTCAGATCTAAGATTCAGATGCTATAAATATTTTGCTGAATATATGAAAGTGAGAGATTTTAGAAAGTCATGTGGAAACAAGAAAACAGGATAGATAACATCAAACAACTTCACAACGAAATTTTCACAAATCAACTATATCAAAATATATTTCATTAAAAATATAGAAATAATAATATTACATTATAAATCGTGCTGTTCTTTGCAACAAGCAAATAAATTGTATACCTACATGGCTAGAACTTTTCATATTTGTCTACCTTGTTAAATGTTTGAACCACTAATTAATGATGAGGTTCTATTGAACCACTATTTTTTCTTTTGTGAGAATTCTAATCATAATTCAAGAGGCGAGTAAGTGGATTAAAAAAACTGATTTCATTCAATCTTAAAATGACACATTTTGTTGAATAAAAACATCAGTTTAAAATATTATTTAAATATAAAACACAGTATACATATATTATATAAAATATATTGTATATATATTTCAGATATATATAATATATATTTCAGTTAATAGACTTAACTTACCTGAATACTTAATAGGTAAAAATTCAACTGAATTTGAAGGAATGGAAGGTTTGTTTTCCCAAATTACATCTACTAAGTTTTTCTCAGTGGGAACTAAGCAATTATTGCTACTTTCAAATGTTTCTTTCAAAGTTTTCCATGTATCTGAAAAATTTCACAAAGACACACTAATTAATAATTTAAATTCTTCTGCTTTAAAAGAAATAATATTAAACTTTGGAAATCAAAAACGTTTTGAGATTTCTTAATAGTACATTAAAATTTTTCTCAATATTTAAAATTAATAATTATGTATGTGACATGTATTATTTAAAATAATTTTAAAGCAAAGCTGAATAATATTAATAACAAGCTTTGAATTTGTTTTATTTAAGTTTGAAATCACATAATTATAATATATTTTATCCAGTATAGAATATAATATGAATAAAATACCATAAAAATTATGAATTAAATAAGAACAGTATTAAGACAATATGCAAGTTTGTTGTAAAAAAGGAAAAAAAAAAAGAAAAAAAAAGAAAAAAAAAGGAGATTCGAAATAAAATTAAATTCAAAAGCAATTTTAAAAAATCCAAAAATTATTTATAAACATTGCATTTATTAAAGAGATTATTCATAAAAGACCTGCAGTTCTTGGCGTAGAAAGTCGGAAGTCTTCTTATTCTTTCAAATGTTTGTGCACGCAAAAACCATACTAGATTTTCTACTTAAAAACAATCATTTAAAGAAAAAGCTTGAATTTTTATAGCAAAACATGCACCTATCTAGAATTAAAGGGGGGGGGGGGGAAGATGATCCTTGACACCCTATTTTCCAAAATTACATGGCATGAAATCATGATTGTATGAAAGCTTGAATCATGATTGTATGAAAAAAAGTATGAACATTTGGAAGCACTAAAAATTAAAATGTCAAAACAGCTAGTGGGTTAAACATAAAATGAGAAAAATATTATCTAAGATGCAATATTCACTAATCAGAAATTTTTTTTTTTGGTCAAAAATTATAGAAACAAATGAGGGTAAAAAAGGTTGTATGCTGCAAATGAAATAAACTTCCACCAAATAAAGATTGCTACATATTAAGTAATAGATGAAAAGAAATATAAAATTTTTTATATTTTTAAATAAAATTTTTCTTATTATGTAATTTCAAAGAGCTTTGCGGAAGATGGTACTAAATTACATATTGAAAAATAAAAACAAAATTTTAAATTAAAAAAACAAGTAATATTCAGCTGCTAGTTATATCCATGAACATAATTTTCTTCCATCGGGTCATTAAGCAAGATGATACTTAATGGGGGAATTTGCGCCCCAAACAACTTACAACTGTTGCTAGATTTCATAAACATGATAATCTGCAATTCTCAAAAAAACTGTTACCTGAGGCCTTCTTCCACTAAGTTTTTCAATTATTACAGATACTGAAAAACTAGAAATGCAAATTTTCTTTCTTCTTTTTCTTACCAGCTAAACTGTAGAAAACATGAAAATAACTTTTGCATGTCTTTAGATTTAATAAAAGTATAAGACATATAACATTGCCAATTAAAAGGATAAATGAAGATATTAGAGATCATATAAATAAAGAATTTTTTCAAAATGGTGCGATAAATAAATAAAGATGTTAAAGTGTATTTAAATAACACATTTGAAACATATTTAATAAGACTAACCATTATCAAGAAGGAAGGAATCGAAACCCACTTTGCTACCATTAGGTAAAACCTGAAAAAAGTTTTAGAATTATAAGATTAGTTACATAAAATACTTTGAAATAAAAATTTAGAAATCAGTTTCAAAATGAAATAAATTAATGGGAACAATTGATGATAGAAATAAATTTTTTTTTAAAGAAGAAATTTTTAGCATATTGGTAAGTTTTTTTTTCCATGAAAAATCTGTAGAAAAAATATGGTTGAGTTAAAATGAATGTAGAGTTCAATATAAGATGAGTCAGAAATCACTATACTCTCCAAACATGAGAAATTTTATATAATCTACATTACCTGATTAAACAGCAAGAATGAACTAAGTTTAATAACAAAACAAAAAATTGAAGGGGAAAAAACATATTGTAAAGTGTAAAAAGAAAAAAAAAAGAACTAGGTTTTTTTTACAAATAAGAAAAGCTATAATTTTCATAATTTATTTTATTATAAGAAATAGGTACTTTACTCTGCCCCAGATATAAAAATATTTTATATTGCTATTTTATAACAGTTGTTGAACAGCCATTTAGGACTACTAATGTTCAACTCCATAGCCTTGTAATTTTGAACCCAATCCAGAAGACAAGGGAACTTCAGGATCAAATATTGGGAGAACTTTTGCCTTCGTGGAGGACTTTTTTGATGGAAGAGGAACTAACCTGCATTTGCGTTACATGGAGAGGAAGACCACAAGGACCTCCCACAGTTAGCCTGAGGGCAAGGGAACTCTTACCCATGATTCGTAAAACCACTAAGGATATTTCACGTCAGCACTGTGGTCGGTGCAAACCGGATACAGATTTGTATCGACCAGCCATTGCTGGTATTCAAACCTAGTTCACCTCAGTGGAAGGAGAATGCTCTATTCCCTGAGCCATTGTGGCTGAGATATAGAAATATTGGAAAATTAGTAATTAAGTTGGCTGGGTTGCCTAGTTGGCAGGGCACTGAACTCACGTTTGTGAGAACGGGAGTTCGAATCCAGCTGGCCCTGTGTAGAAAATGGTGACTGGTGCACATTAAATCTGCTGGGTCACAAAGTCCCCCATGTAACAAATCGATACCTTTAGAAGTACTGAATTGGAGATTGATCATTCTATGGTTCAGATCAAAATTACGATCTGTGGACAAATAAATGGATGTATGAATGAGTCCGCCTTTTAAACAGGAGTGGCAGAAGTAGAATTGTCGGCCATAGATGGCGCCACTGGAAAACAAGAACAATCGCAGCCCCTCTGCCTTAATGGTCGACGGCAACAACAGCAGTAATTAAGTTATAAAAAAATAGAAAGACTTACATCATTTAGCCACTCGCCTACAGATGGTGTACCTTCGATTCCTATTTGAAAGAATAAAAAAAATATTGAAGCAAAAAATCGAACAATATAAATATCTCAGAAATTATATTTCATGATAATAAGAAAAACTTATAACAAATGAATAACGTTCAATTTCTGCTCAACAGACTATTTGATATCTACGACTACATTAAAATTTTACAATTCGTTAGCTAAAACCATACAAACTATCTTAGAAAAAATATAAAATGTATCATGTATCTTGCACATTATCTATTAAGTCTGTTCGAAATATTTTAGTATACTTCAAAAGAAATTTGAAAAAAAGCAAACAATCATACTATGACTTCATCGTATACAACATAATTTACAAAATTTAGGAAAATTAGCCAAAATTTAAATAATATATTAATAATTTAGTTTTTATATCATTAGGTAATTCAAACTTATTTCATAAGCTTATTACTTTCCACGCTCAATTGAAGCTTTTTAATTTATTTATTTGTTTTTAAACTTTAGTTGTAAAATTAATGCATTTGCCTTCTACTATTCAACCCACAATTTTTTAATGGAGACCTTAAAATGTTTTTATAAATTTTAGTTTAAAATGAAAAGGCTTAAATCAATAGTCCCAGTTTTTGCAAGTTAAAAATAGAAGCATTTGAGATTATTCCTCAAGTTTTAACCATTTAGGATCTAAATTCTTCAATTTAACCAGGTAAACCTAAGTTTAGCGTTCATTCTTGCTTTATTCATAACACACAAATGAATAACTGCTTGTACATCTAAAGGCACTTACTCTTCTGGCTGAGAGCTGGGAGCAATGAGTTTAATCCTGGCAGACGACTAAGCAAATAGCATGCAAATGCAGCAAGGTGCCCACTAAATCTGTTACGGCTGAAAGTCCTCGCATTGGATTTGGTGTGGTAGTTTGGAGAGACGAGTACCAGCACAGGCACTCTTCTCGTCGTCTAACTGAAGTCTAAATTACGTCTATTCTTTACCATTGTGATTAAAAGATAGAGCCCTGAAAATTGAGGCTAGATGCTTGACCGAGAGTAGATGGTGTGTATGTTAATCTACAGTCCCAGAACAGTTTAATATCTCGAGAAATACACATTGGATTGGAATGAAATAAACATGCACTTAGTTTTTAACAAAAAACTAAACAATGATACTAAACTGGATAGCCCAACTTTAATCCCTGAGGGTGGGACATGGGTAATTTCAAAAACAATTTTAGACCCAATTTCTATTTCGAAATAAAATTAAAAAACAATTATATGAAATTGGAGTACTTTTTGTGATAATCCAAAACTGCCATTTTGTTACCTAATTAGAATTTTGAAGTTGCCTTCACTTCATCCCCACAGAGTAAAGTTAAAAGACCAGTTTTTTCTCTTCTTTTTTATAAAAAATTCATGTTTATTCTCTTCCAATGTGTGTTTCTTGGGATATTTGACAGTTCCAGGACATTTGAGACACCCTTTAAATAGATAATTATATTTTTGGATAGAGGGTTTTTGGATTTTCGTATCAGTGTCAAACAACATCAAAATAAAAAACTGTATAAAAAATTTAACATAGTGAGAGAAATATAATTTTATATAAGATATCTAGAAAATCAATTTCCATTTTTAACCTAAAAAAGATAACTAAAATAATACAGAATATGTTATAATATGTAAAATGGTGAAAAAAAATGCATTCTCACATACATACACAATAGACTACTCTAAACGCACCATTAAAAAAACATGAATAAAACAAATAACTAAATGAAATGAAAAAATTGCCTAAAACCTACGCTCTTTCATCAGAGTCCAATTTTCATCTAATTGTTGATTGGCTTGAAGAAAATATCGTCCATCTGTCCATAATGCTGCATGCTTTTCCGTTATAACTGCTGTACCTTTTAGAACAAATTTAAAAAAACAAAAAAATTAGATACAGGATATTTGAGAAAATTTCTCAATTTTTATACTAATAATTGACTCTGTGAATTTCTACAGAATGAGAATAGTTTCTCTAAAATGAGTTTTTACCTCGACTGCCAGTGAACCCACTAATGAATTGAATCCGTTTATCACAAGGTGCAATATATTCACTCTAGAAAAACAATATATTATTAATAAAGAATCAAATTATTTAAAATATTATTTGTAAATCAAAAAAAAATGTTTGTTAAAAAATATATAAAAAAAATATACAAAATATGTTTGTAAATCAAATATAGTGCCTTCCGTTTAACGTGATGGGAAGATTTCCATATTGGTAGCTCTAAACCAAAATTATCACCAAGTTTCTGTACAGTACACTCTCAAAAACTTTAAAAAAAATAAAAAATCAAAGAAGGGAATAAACTTAAAGTAGCCACCAAATAACAAACATTGGCACATCTTTTCTTTAAATTTTATGCAAGTTTATTCGCCTTGGCCTTGAAGTTGGTTCGAACAGGTACCAACATGGAAATATTCCAAATGCGATCATATTCATACCAAAAAGTTTAGTTAAAATGAACAGTTAATCAAATAAAATTAAAAAAGTTTAAAGTTCTATTAAAAACCTTAAAAAAATTTATAATTTTAAATGACATTTACTGTCAATAAGGTTAGAGCTAAGTAAATGAACTTATTTTTCCATTCTGATTCCTCAATGCTAGTAAAAATGGAAGGAAAAAAACCCTTGTTGTTTATTAGAGAACTAAATAATTTAAGTACTTCGTATTCTCCTTGGAATGAAATAACCCTTTCTCCACCCACATTTACCTTTTTTCTATAGATTTAGCATAATTACGATGATTCATTTTCAGGGCCCAAGCTGAAGATTTCATATTAGTCAAATATCAAAAGCATTCGCCAAATGCAAAGCTTAACAATTTTCCATGATGAATTTTTTTTCTCCATAGAAAACAATTTTATGATAGATTGTCTCATGCTTATATTATTTTAACCCAATTATAATTGGTCATGTGGCGCATCTACCGAAAATTACGGTAATCGAATAAAAAATACTGATTCGTTTAGAAAAAATTCTTTTGATGTAATTTTGAGGATCAAGTTAAATATATATTTTTCTTTCAAAAGAATTTATAAATGAATTGGATATTAAATATCATGAAATAAATAATTCGGCAAATTTATGAATTTATTGCAATTAACGAGGTGTCAAATGTTTAGAGCAGGCCCCGATTTTAAATAAATGTTTTCTTACTTGATGGGCGTCAACGGATGGTATTATATACGCCTGCAAGCTTTCCGTCACATATTCAGAATTCTTCATCACATCTCGAAACTTTTTAAGAATTTTAGTAGAACATCGCCGCGTCATGTTTTGAAATAATTAATTCAGCCAAAATTACAATTCAAATTAGCTGAAGACAGGAAAACCTACTGAATTATCTCGTATATTTAGCTTGAAATTTTAATTAACTGGTTTACTACGTTTGTTTTAAAGATGGTATCAGATCTAATATTACAAAAATCAAAGAAAAAACGGTCTTTAAATTTTTAAAAAATATGTTCTTTTTAAAAACTTCATAAATTTTGTTTACTACTAGTTCCCGTGAGTTGGTTTTGTACAGTGAAGTCACAGTTAAATTTAATTTCAGTTAAGGAAAAAAGTGAGGCTAAGCTAATATCAGATAACTTTTACAAACGAATATTAAACAAGTAAATCATAAATCTATATGATGTTTTTAAGTTTTTTTTCCCACCCCATTCGTTGAATTTTGGTAAAAAGAATTTTTTCGTTAATCTGTGAGGATTAGTTAAACAAACCATTTCCAGAGTTGCAAAACTTTGTTTTAAACTGATTATTTTTTTAATTAGTTAAAACAATCCATTTGCTTAAGCAAATGGAATGCTCATTCTGTTTTATTCAATAATTTCTTATTCATTTAAGGTTTCCTTTTGATTGGCTGGTTATAACTAATATAATGATTTTATAATAAAGTTATCCTACAAGGCTGCTTGATTGAAAATATTACTCTTACCTATCGCACCATAATGGGGAAAGGTACTAATTAATAAATTTAAATTTTCAATCAGGGTCATGGGTGAAAGCCCTTATATAGCAAGACGGAAAAGAGAAAAACCTGGTACGTAAAACATTTCATTCAGCATTTTTTTCGAAAAAAATGAAATTTCTGTAACTATCAAGATTTCTTTTATAATTCTGGCATATATATAAAACTGCTTCTTTTCCAAGATAAAGTAGATATTGTTGAAAAATTTAAAAAAAGAATAAGTAAACTCCTCCCCAAAACTAGCTATAACTGAAATGGTTTTACTACCAGCCTTTCCTCTTTTCCGTCTCGCTTTCACCCCTGATCTCAGGGTTGCTACGATCTTGATCATTTTCTTAAGTGATAGAAAAAATATTGATGTTTTATGTACACGTAACTTGTATCTGCAAAAAAAATCTAATTAATTGAATTCTATTTGAGAGTGGAAAAACCCCCAGGGAATGTGTTTGTGATGCTGAAGTGTGCCCTAAGAGCACATTTTTCTGCTGTCTTAAAAAAATTCAGCCACTGCTTTGAAATTTTCGCAGGGAGTAGCAACCCTGCCATTTTTTTTCCATTAAAGCTTTTTATGGCCAAATATTTCTAAATATAATTACTCGATCAAAATTTAAAAAAACTACAATTATTAAATCCTCACAAAATAGTAAGATGGTATAGTATCGGTGAGGCAAGCTCGCTCCGTTATTGAAAGGAAATTTTTTCCATTTCTAACAAGACTAAACATATGTTTTAATACTTGATATATAGTTTATAAGGGTTGTAAAGCAGTCGAATCCCCTGGTTTTCGAAGAAGATTTTATTTTTAAGTGTCAACGAAATATTTATATTAATATTTTGTATATACTTATTTATTTTTTGAAAAATTTATACACAATGATTCCGACCACCACTACGCATAAATCTAATAAATATATAAAAGTTCTACAACTACTCTTTAAAAATATTAAGTGTTTCCATAATTTACTTAAATTCCTGATCACAATTGTAAAAGCAATACGCTACCACTACGAGGAATTTAAATCAGAAAGTGCTAGTATAAAAAATGGCAGTTGTGGAGCGCCAACAGCTGTGCTTTCTGCAAAATGTTTTTTAAAGTAGTAGCAAATTAAATTAATTACAGAATTAACGCAATTACGGAGAATTTTAAAAAACTATGAAAGCTTCGCCATGAGATGCTTCCAACAAAATAACAATATCATATACTTTTGCATAATTTATAGGTCGTGGTTAGAAAAAACACTTTAAATGAAATTTACTTAACCATAAATTTTAAATAAAAAATAAATCACGAATTTCACTACAACTATCAAGCTTCCTCGCAAAACGAAGCAAGTTGGTATCTCTGGTTTAGTAAATTTAAAGAAAACTGATTTTACTCATCATTACATTTAAGTAATTTAAACATATGTATAGAAAATGCTGCTTTTTTTTAAAATTATATCATCGTTCAACGATATGCCAGACTGATTCGCTTTGTGGGAAACCTTTTTCTAGTTGTAAAATTTGATTACAGGCTTAGGCGGATCACGATTTTATGAAAATTCTATTTCTTAAAAAAATTTCTGTTTTCGTTTACTCTCACTAAAAAAATTTATTTCGCAAAACACTCAATAATTGGCAAAGTTGAACTACAGGGTTCAATCCTAATTGAAAATGAAAACAACAAAGTGTACACATTGCTGCAAATTAATATTTAAGCGAGGAAAAAACAAAAACACTATCGAAATCTGATAAATTACAGTACAGGAAAGCGAATGTATTAAACAACTGAATCGTTCCCCAGTTGTAGATTCAGCAGAATTTAGTGGCTCTACCTCCACCAATTTATAAAATTTTTGTAATACAGAAGTTGACATTCTTGCGTGTTAAAATTTATTAAAAATTTTTTCAAAATAAGTAACATTCTGAAGATTTTATTGCTTAATATTCTAAAATTTATTGCATTTAATAAAATATTTTAGAGAAAGTGACGCAGTTGGCATCCCTGTTAAATCAAACTCCTTAAAAATCCTTAAAAAGAGAAATTTTTTAATGAAGAGTAAAGTTTTGCGATATTTTGTATTAAGCTTTTGCTTTATACATCTTTGATTGTAATAGAAGATTGATTATAATAGAATATTGATTATAATAGAAGATAATACCTTTACTATTTAATCAAGATTAACGCTGAGCATGCCAAATAGAAAAATAAAACATGAAACGTATTGATAAACTAAATTTATTTCTCCATAAATATGTTTTTTTAAATACAACATAAAAAATACAGCCTTTACAACAATGATATTTTTTATACACAAGTTATATTTGACCCGATATAATAATCTTACATACTTTTTTTCTCACTTCTGAAAATGAAAACTAAAATACACTGTCTCTCTACTGAAATTATCACATTATAATACTCTGTTTATACTGTATGGTATCGTTTTTTTCCATTTGGTGTCGTCTAACTGCACATGTGGTGGTTCGGTGATAAAAAGGTTTCTGTTTGGCAGGCTGGTGTTATTCCTGCAAGTTTAATGCAACGACCAGGTTCGCGTCGAGGCTACAAAATGTATAAAAAAAGAATAATGCATAACTGGTAATTTCTATTTAAAGAAAAATCATCTATTTGTTACAAAAAAAAGGGAGGGAAAACTAAAGGGTTGTTTAATGGCAATATGTTTATGACATTGTGTAAAAGTTTGAAATATTTAACTAATTTACAGTTTGGATAAAAAAGGCACTTAATTATTCAACAATAAATGTGTAATTTTAGATACCCTACAGTGGGGAGGTAAGCTGTTGACTATGTCAACCTTCTTCGATGAAAAGGTACCCCATCTTAATATCGAGATAATATGTTTTATATACTAGTAAATTAAAATTATATTTTTGTAGATGCATAATAATACTCCCCTACCAGAATTATATCTCTGATATAATTCGATGTACGGATACCTCTAGTTGATTCATTGCTGTTCTGTGAGAAGCCGGGAGAGCTGTATCAAGTTCACAGTCGTAGTCGCTCCTGTGTTGCCTTTAGCAGTCGAGTGTTCACGTTGTGTGTCAGACGAAATATCGTTCTGTCCATTTTATTGATATTTCTGACAATTCCATGTTTATCATACCGAATGCAGTTTTCTGATTGCTAACTTTGGCCTCTAGTTGCGAAAAATTCACATCCTTGCTAACATTAGGGAGGAATTCAGCGAAATTTACATAATTACAATGGCTCAATTAAGCCAATCAGAATATTTTTATAAACGTATTGCATTTTGAGATATGTAAAAATGCAGGCTTTTAATTGGCCAAATGTGTCCATCATAATTGCCATGGATTTACGAAAGCCATGGAAAGCATAAAAAGTCATGGATTTACGAAATATAGATTGTGCTTATACGATTGATTAATGAAGAAGCTAACATAAAACTGACGGATTTTACACTGTAGTGATATTTTGTTTAAAAAAGTTCCTTAAAGGAGGAAACGTAAAATAAACTTTCTATTCGATTTGGCGCCCACTCTGATGTGGGGGCCCGGGGCTACTTCCCGTATGGCTCTGCCTAAGTCAGACTCTATTATTCGAAAATAAATTAAGCAAAGTAAAAAATAAAAAAAAATCTATTAAAGTTTGCGAGTTACGATAGAGGAAGGAGAAGCTCAGATGCTGAACAGCGAAATAGGGTTGAAAAATTCAATTGTAATTGTTAAACATTTATTATAATCAGCTAAAATTTTAGAAAACACTAATAAAATTAATTTAATTAAAACTAACTCAAAATTTTTATGAGTTCTCCCTGTGCTCTTCCCTTTTTTCCATTAAAAATTAATTAAAAAAACTTCATATTAAAAAACTTTAACGAGACTAATTAGTCTCGTTAAAATTACAAGAATTAGATTATCTGCAAATGTAATAAAAAAATTCAGTGAATGAAGTCGCATGTCACTGTAAAAAAGCAGTAATAAAAATATTTACATCCAATCAATAACTCATAATTGATTTCATTTTTCGGTTGTTTATGTGAAATTATTTAAGTAAAAAGCTAATGAAAAAAGATGTATCAAAATTTAAAAAATTATTCTTTTTTCAATATTTTTCAATATCATTTTTCAATGACAATATATTTCTGATCTATAATGAAAAATTTATGCATTTATAAAAAGTTTGTATTTCTCATTGAGTTCTGTAATTTTTCAAAATAAAATAACCAAATTCAAGAATAAAGAATAATTTTTATGAAAATTATTCTCATTGTTTATAACTGTTCTTTTTTTGAAAACTGCAATTCAGTTTATTTAATTTAATTTAAACATATACACCAAGAACAAGTGGATTTATTTCATCCTATCTTCAAATATTTTCAAAATAATAAGATGTCTTTTTTTTTTTTTTTTGAGTTAGTATATTTAGCTTTTAAACGAACTTTTTTTTTTATTAAAAAGTCGGTGTTCCCCTAAGAGAAGATCGATCAATTAGGGTTCCATAGCCGAAGAAAAAAAATTGGGAATAGCTGGCTTTGTTTATATTATATTTACGTCCATTTGAAAATGCGAGAAGCCGTGGTGGGATTCGGAATTTTCGGTCTGCATTGTCAAATAATGACCACTGACCATTACCAAAAAATGACCATGAAAAAGAATTGTTTACTTACCACTTGAGATTCAACATAACATTCAGCTTCGTTGTGCTTGACGGGTGGTGGAGTGTAAAGAGCAAAGTCACCGGAATCGTAGTTCTTTCTAGCTTCTTCAATAGAAGACTGAAGGCTGGAAAGTCTGCCGACACCCGAGTCTTTAATCTCTTCCGGCTGCTCAAACTGTTAAAAAAAGAAACATTTATATAAGCAATACATTTAGAGCTAACATCAGGAGAGGGTACTTGCTCGAGGAATCTCTTTTTCAATCAGTAATGTTCCGAACTTGGCCAAAGGATACGTGCTCTTTGTTCGCCAAGGTTCAACATATTTACAGTTTCTGTTTTTGTTGTTTTGTGCCATCTGTCTCAACTTTTCTTTTACAATGGGTATAAGGGACAAATATTACTTTTAGTAACATTTTCCAAACAAATGTCTCTTAAGGAAATACTTATTTATTTATTTTTTGTATTGGTCGCTTTTATATTGGCTTTTATATTGGCAAATTGGAAGTAACTTGTAAATTTCTTAAAAATCTTCACACTTCAACAACAATATGTTAGATGTTATACATTTAAGATCTTGAACTGCGCCGTAGTGAGTGCCTCACAAAAGAGATCTTTTTCTTAGAGAATTTTAGAATCCCTATCGCATAAAAAGCAAAAACCATAAGTTTTTTGACGAATTTTGAATTAAGTTTAAACTTGCTAGTAAAATAAATTATGTGAAACAAATTGTCCATATGGCTGATAGTGTTAGACTTCTTATTTGAGCTATTTGGAAAAGACAGACATCGTAACTCAGTCGACTCCCGATAACACACTGACTACTAAAGGAAAAAATTCCTTATAAATCACAGTTTAACATTAGTTTGAGTTATAAAGTTTCTACCGCATTGAATTAATTCCTAAAGAAAATGCACAAGAATACATAAGCTTTGTTGAAATTATAGCACAGAGCTCGCTCGTGGACGACCCTGCAAAAACTGGGCAGCAGAGCGGGTCGACACACCGAGCAACTTAATCCAAGATCGATCCATGGACCGACCTCACACTGGAAAACTACCGTACCCATCTAAATTTACGAAATCGCAAAAGTTAATCAAGTCGAAAAAGTTAAGAAAATTATTGTAACACAAAAGCTTCATTAAATTTGTTAACATTATAAACAGAAACGTTTATCATATTTTTATAAATTAACCCGCACTCGAGGTTCCTTACTACAATTAAAAAAGAACGCAGCAACTAGGAGTTTACAAGACTCAACCCTCAGTTTGCCCTATTGCCATATAACACATATAGATCATTAAATAAAGTAGTAGCCAAGCATTAAAGTGTAAAAGTTTTAAAATTCATAGGGTGGTAGCCAGAATAGCACTCTCTCGAGTATAAGGAATTGAACTCCCTTGCTGTTTTTACTTTGAAATTTTCTGGTTGCTAATATCATGATGGAAGCAATCATAATATCAGAGTTACAAACAATGGGCGTGTTTACATTAATTGTAATATAACACATTGCCCACAGGCTTAATGTAAAGCGAAATCGGCGAGCAACATAGTACTATTAGATTCGTACTCATGGCCAATTACAGGTGGCTGACAAAATAATACGAACCCTAACGCTATGGCAACAATGTTTCTCTTTGTAGCAAATGTTTTGGAAGATTTCACTTGGCAAAACTTTTGGCACGATTTGAAGGATCATATTCGAAGCTTTTAGGAATGGCGTCGTTTTTACTCATGCTAAATTCTGATTGTCCGAAATGAGGAGAGGAAGTTAATTACAACTTTCTAGCATTAATACTAGCAATTGTGAAATCATTTCTATAGGATTAAGATATTTAAATAAAAATGATTTTAGAATTATAAGGGTATTAAAAATGGAAAGAAGGTTTTAACTTCCTGCTCTCATTTCGGTTAATGCATACTTTGCATGGGTAAAAAAGGACACCATTTCTGAAAGCTTCAAGCATGATTTTTCGAATTGTGTCAACAGTTTTGCCATGTAAAATCTTTCAAAACATTTTATTCTGACAGAAAGATTGTTTAGAGTTAGTGTAGAAGTGTTATTATTTTATCTCTTATTTCAACGTTAAAATACAACAAAGCTATGATGTTGCCGAAATTTTGAATTACAACGTGTTTTTAACACGCATTCTAATAGCATTGATGACTTTCTCGTGATGCTTGAATTAATGATGGAGTAAAAATCAATTAAAATGCAGATGGATAGATTAAACATTAATTTGCATATTCAGTTGGAAAAATTATAACGGATGCAGAAGCGGTATTAATGTTTATGGTACATTATCTTCGTGGTATAAGTATAGACATTTGAACTTGACTCAATATAAAGTGCCATTCTAAAAGTTGCTGAACTTTTTTTTTTTTTAGTTTAGGTTACTGCCTAACGAACAGGGACCGATCAAAACAAATTCAGGCCCAAGGCCCACAAAATTTTTGGGGCCCCTGGCAAAATATTTTGAAATTAAGTTTCTGAAGAGTAGCCCTAACTATAAAAAGAATATATTAAACTGCATGAATCAAGAGAAACATTCTAAAAAATTTTGAAAGTAGACAATTGAAGATTATTTTTCTAAAATAAAGTTCAAACATGTAATTATTAAAGCAAAATATAAGACAACACAACAATGCTGTATGAAAATAAAAACAGTTTTGTGACCGCAAACAATTGAAATCAGTGATTTTTTGCTAAAGTCACTGATTAGCTTAATTATTTTACAGATTGCAGCCTTCCATCTACAGCTTTACATATCTCTTAAGTTCTTATTGACACTAATCATTTATAAGAAACTTTACGAATATGCATTCTCGTTTCATTTGCTTAAGCCGTTGGAGTAAAAATTGCATCAATTAAAATTCAGCTGTATTTTCGAAATTGATTGGTGCAATGTTTACACGAGTTTGGTTTATCACAATATAAAGAAAATTTGAAATAAAAAATGCTTTTTTGAGATAAACTGCTTCTTTCAGTATTTTTTTTTAAATGTAATTTTGTGGACTTTTTACTAATTTTTGAGGCCCCCCAGAAAGTGTAGGCCCTAGGCCCGTGCCTATTGGGCCTAGGCGATAATCAGGCCCTGCTAACGAAGCAGCTAAAAATGGAAATATTAGTCTTATTTATACAATAATTTTTTCTGGACATATTTTTACTTACTCTGCTTGGCATTTTGGACATTCTAGTAGAATTTTCATCCGTATATCTTGCCGACTGGAAAAACATTCTTAAACCGTGTGGCATGCTGGATTCTGCTACCAAAATAATTGCGCTTAAAAGTAAGAAGACTGGTCCGTTCATGATTTCTGTACAAGGATGAGAAGGAAAAAAATATTAATAAACAATAAAATAACTATCATTTAAGTAGTGTAAATCATTTTTACAAGAGATTCTTCAGATTCTTGGGTATTAAAATATGGGATTTTTGCTGCAATTAGGAAAATATCATTTCAATAGTTTTATCAGGGACGTGGCCGTCCAAGGTTTAAAATTTTGGTGCTTGAGTTAATTTTCTTTTTTGCATATATCGCTATATTTCTAGAATTGTTCAAGCAAACTAGCGCAAATTCAAATTTTTCTCCTTCTTAATAACAATTTTATGGAAAGAAAGAAAAGTTTTCATAATTTCTTATTATCGTTAACTACTTAGTTTAATTTCGCTCGAAACGATCTTAGTAATAGATGAAATAATAAGTAGTTTTTATCAGCGATGCACATTTTTGCTTTATTTTCATCATAATAATTTTAAATTACCAAATTCAAAATTTAAATTAAATCCAGCGAAAAGAATTTAAGGATTAAAAAAAATTAAAAAGATGCATTTGAACAATTAATTTTTTAACTGCATTTGTTAATAAAAATTGTATAGTTTAAAATGGCGAAAAACTGTCATCAATATAAAACTAAATAATAAAATATTAAAAGTGTTAAAAAATAATATTTTGCATATTTTGAGTGCAAAAATATTTTTATTAACTTAAATAGTTTCAGAGGTACGGTAAAATAGACAAAATGATAAATTAACATTAACCCTTTCGCGCCGACTGTCACAAATACGTGCCAGCATAAAACAGTATCAATCAGGTTAAAAAGATAAAACTGGTAATCAAAGTATTTCTTTAGCAGTTTATTTGTGGGCGGAGTTATAATTGTTTGATTTATTTAATTCACCATTACTTTGTTCAAAATAAAACTATTTAGTTATACTTTGAATTAACATTGATTATATATATGATTAAACTAACAATAATTAAAGTAAAAGCAAAGTAAATCTGTCAAATTAGCAACGACTACATTTAAGTTACCGTTTTTTATTTAATTACAACTTGATTCTGATTTTGTACGAATGCTCTTCTGAATCACCCGTCCCCAAGGGGTTAAGGGATCCAGACTAATATATCGGGGCTACATTTTTTTTTTACTAAAAGCACGTTTATTCAGAGAAAATATGTTTCTGTGACTGATTTCTTAATTTGAAATATCGTCTGCGCAAATAAATTATAATTTTTAAGATTAAATCCTCGAACCGTTTAGTTTGAATTTTAATTCGCGACAATCCGAACACTAGATTAAATTTTTTAAGGATTACCACTTTCTATTTTGGTTTCCGTACATTCTTATTTAAATTAAATAGATACTTAATTAAGTTAAGTTTTAAAAAATAACATTCTCTGATTATATGTTCTAGTTAGAATCTTTATATTATTGATACACCACAGCGTATAGGCGCGTTTTGTTTTGCCAAAATAGAAATTAAAAAACTATTTTATTTTCCCTATCATATTTCCTCTTTAAGGAAAAAAAAATTACTGTCGTTAAACGTCAACATTAGGCGCAAACGAGTTACGGCCGAGAGACTATAGGCAAGAAAAATTAGAATTACTTAAAAAGGTTTTTAAAAAAGGTACTTAAAAATGTAAAAAGTGGTAGAAATTTAATTCATTTTTATTTTTTTTAACCCAGTGGTTTCCAAATTGGGATCCGTAGAAGGGTCACAGGGTTTGCGAAAGTTATGATTTTTTTTAAAACCAGTTATCATTTTCGAAACTAATTAAATCAATATTCAATCGATAGTTGTTTTTATTTAATATTTCCGTTATTTTTTATGAAATTATTTAACTGAAATGCTTGAAATTCTTAATCGTTTTCCCGTTTGACTGATATGAAAGAAATTTCAAAATCATGTTTTTTCTAATAACAATAAAAGGAATGAATTCTGAAAAGAATATATGTATTCACAGAAAATGCTTGTATTATTTAGTTTCGAATAAAAATAACTGTATTCAATCACGAAGATTGAAGAAGTATGTTTCTTTAATAACTATTATCAACGTTTATTTTCTTCCTTTTTCGTTTTAATTTTAATAAAAACTATAATTCATCTAATCCATTTTCAGTCTATGCATGAACTAAAATTATATTAAGAACTTGAATAGGTATCATCCGGGACTTTAAAATTTACTGTCTGACATAAAACCCAATTTTAAGACTAATATTGGTAAAAGAGGGTTCCAGCGGGCCTTGAAAATTTTAAAAAGCATAAACGAAAATAAAACAAATGTCGATATTTTAATTTCTGTGTAACCACCAATAAAAATAATTTTCCGACGAAAGAATATATGCACGAAAATTTCAGCTTCTAAACAATTCAAGAATAAAGTGGTATTTTAAAATCAGAAATATCTTCTAGCATTAATCTAAATTGACAACCATTACTAAGACTTTTCAAGGACAGCGGTAACCCTGTAAAATGAAGGAAAAAAACTTCTATTTTTCATTCATTCACTAAATATTTTCAAAAGAATTAATAAATTTTAGATTACTACATTTTTGAACACTCAGTTCTCAGTTAAAATAATTAATACACTCAGTTAATAATAAATCATACACTCAGTTAAAATAATTAATAATATATTTCGTTAACTGATATATTCTCATACCTGACAACATTCACTATTTTCGAGAATAGATTTTCCAAGTGGTAGTAAGACAATTACCGAAAAACTATCATCCTCAAAAATATATTTATATTTTAATTGGGTTGAAATTCGCTATGGTAAGGATTAATATGATTTTATATATTTGTTGCAATTATTTATATGTAGTGGTGGTCAAACTCATTTATAACTATTATTATAATTCAAAAAGTTTAGCGGAATAATACGAATTTTGCTACCACTTTAAATATGGAAATAAAATCTTCCGGGAAAACCGGAAGAGTTGGCAGCTATGTATTCTTATTGCTGATAAAATTTATTCATTAAATCTCGGGGTTACACCAAAAGAAGGTCGATCATTTGGGTTACACAACCGAAATAAATTGGGAACTGTAGATTTAATCTATTTAATTATTCGTTCGTAATTATCACCATAATTTTTTATGCAAATTATATACGTTTACAGCAAAAACATTTCTTACGTAAACTTTCAATAATTTAAACGAAATTGGGTAGAAAAGTTTTTTTTTTTCTTTGGTAGATTTTTGCTTTTTATTTGTCATTACGTCTTGCAGTTTTAGGTATACGTGTGATCTTTGAAATAAATAAAATTTAAAATAAGTAATTTACTTTTCACTTACCTAAGACTTTTGATAAAATACTTCTTTAACTTAACGAATAAATCGATCTTACTTAAGTCTGTATCTAGAAGTTTCACAAAACTGTTCGTAAAGTCAGCTATATATCACTTGTTCGTTGATATTTAAAGTCGATACTTAAATAAACAACATGCAGGATTTACTAACTGTCTACTCCAAGAAACAAGAAAGACACACCCGGCAAAATAAAGTTGCTGTTTTTCTTTTTCTTTTTACCCGTGTTTAGTTTATTTTTCAAAGAAATACGAATAAACACTAGTCTTGACATTAACTGTTTATATAGACGGAGTTCAAATGAATTCATTTTTTCAAACGAATTTTGGTGTTCAGCCGTTAAAAATGGCCGTTGTAAATATTGATGTCTACAGAATGACTAACTTTTAAAATATGAAAAAAATTAATGTATAATTATGTAATTTAAAATGTTACTTTACCTGATATATATTTTTGAATCATTTGTAGGAGAATGCATTTTTTTTAAAAAGAAAAATGATATCTAGACATCGTATTCTTGGAACTAACCGAAAGGATAAAATTACAGTCTGATACGTAAATTATATTATTTTGAGAGAAACTATGTATTCAATAAATAAAAAATAATTTATTTTATAAAGTTTTTAATAATCGCTAATTTTAAATGCAGACGATTTACTTAAAAAAGCAAATATAGTATGGGTTGAGTTTATAAAATAATTAATAATCGCTAATTTTAAATGCAGACGATTTACTCAAAAAAGCAAATATAGTATGGGTTGAGTTTGTAAAATAATTAATGATCGCTAATTTTATTAATGCTGTATAGAACGATAAAAGTTGAAATATTTCGAAAATAAAATTATAAAATAACTTACTTGAATAAATTTTGATGATATAAGAGAAAGAACTGAAATAACTGATGTTGTTCGGCTGATTCGTAATGGACGATTAAGAAAGATTCTTCGTGTTTTATACTCTCGAAAAGACCCCGTATCATAACAAGGACGGATACTCTAATTTCCGTTTGGAATCTATAGCAATGCAGCTACTTCAATATATCAGGAAATTGTCAAACAAATACCTTTTTTTAACTTTGAAATTGTGTTTGTGGGTGGATTTGAAGTATTTTTTTTATCCCCTAAAAGTATGTCGTTGTAATTATATGTTGTACCAAACCACAGGAACGAAGAAAAAATTCTGGTGAAGACAATATCAGTTTTTCGTTTAGTAAAACATATTTCATTTGAGTAATTACCATTAGATATGTATTTTTGTAACACTTTGGATGCACTTTTTCGCTTATTGATGCCATATATAAAATGCAAAATAAAAAGCACAACACTTTATAACTTTTGATCACTAGTTAACATGTTATCTTAATAAGTAGAAAGAATAGCCTAATTAGTACTAATTAATTAGTGCAAACGATATTTTAAGTTACGAAAGTAGACAGACACTGAAACGAATTCATGTTTTTCGATTAGTAGAACACATTTTATTAGAGTAACTACTATTAGATATGTATTTTAGTGGACTCTTTTCGCTTTTTTAAATACAGTATGCAAAATAAAAAAGGAACACTTAAGCATTATTTGATCACTAGTAAACATATAATCTTAATTATTCGAAAGAATAAGATAATTAGTGAGTGCAAACGATATTTTAAAGTAAGAAATTAGACACAAAAACGATTTTTTTTTAAAAATAAAAGTACTTTTTCTGACATATCTTGACTTTCAAAATGCAGAGGCTAGTCGAAATCTGAAAAATATGATTCCAACAGTTAAGTCGAAAGAGTAATTAAACTTTTTTTTATCCTAAATATTAATTATAATTTTTCTAACTTTACAATATCCACAGAATTATTTAAGGTATCAGACTGGTTTCGACAACTATATAAAATTTAAATAGTTGTCGGGAAATATTAATATAAAATTTAAAGAAACAAATTTATTAACTGTGTGTAAAAACTTATAAAAGTAGAAAAAAGTTATTTTTATTTTTTCAAATGGCCATTTTTAGATAAAAATAAGGAATTTTTTTGCATTTATGCTAAACACTGTGAAAATTTTCTATTACCAAAAACAAAAAAATCCTTTGAGGATTTTATTTAGAAGACTATCAACTATGTTTTGAACTATTATCTTAAAAGAAAAAGTATTATACTACTGAGTTAGGAATCAATGTAGTTAAGGAAGTACATTTTTAAAAACTTTTGAAAAAACATGCATAAAAATGAAATTCTACTTTTTTCCCTTAGTCTCTAGATCAAAATGCGGTTGCTAATTATTAAGGTATAAAAAGTTACTATTTTCTAGAGTTATGACTACTAATAGCGTTTAAAAGGCGACTTCGGAGTGCAAAAGATTAAAGTTACTTATGCTTTTTATAACGATAAAACAATTTTCAAATAGTAAGATGCATAAATGTTTACACCATTTTAAACTATGCAACTTGAAACGACAAATTAAAATTAGAACAGAATTGGTTTAACAGTTTCTGAGTAATTAAATTTAAAAAAGAACGTAATTTAAAATTTTCATTCCATCGAATTTTTTCTCAAGTTTTGGATTTTGTCATTAAAAATTACATTAAGCCAGACAAACTATTCATTTCTTTTTAGTTTATATCTCAAATTGCTTCTGATTCTCGTAGCCATTGCGAGAATAGAAATTTCTTTTGTTTTGTGTCCACCTATTGCATGGATGAAAGCAAGACAGAAAAAGAGAAAAAGCTAAGAGTAAAATATTTAAATTTTAACTTGTTTTCAGAAGGAGTAAATCTATCCTCTTTATCATCAGAGATGCCATCTTGCTCCGGACAGCAAAAAGTTGTAGTTTATCAACAGAGATGCCAACTTTGCTCCGGACAGCAAATATCTATCTTATTATATAAAACGCTAATNGACTATTTATAATTGCATGTTTTCGCTATTTCTTTGCCTACGAAAAAATTTTATTATTCAACGAAAAAATTCCCAAAGTCTTTGAAGCAAACTATTTGGGTGTCACTATAAACTGCACCCTAAATTGGAAATATCACGTCTCTAATATACTTAAAAAAGCTGAAGCTGCTTATCAATCTTTGAAACCCATTTTAAATAGCAATAGCAAAATGGCTTTAAACACGAAAAGGCACATTTATCTAATGTGCATAAGACCAATCCTCAGCTATGCATCCCCGGCATGGGGGACGCTTACAAATAACAAAGAAAGAGACTCGGAGTCTTCGTACACAAAACCCTAAGACGAATCACTGGGGCTCCCTGGTTTGTCAGAAATAACACCCTCTATAATGACCTCAAAATCGACAAAATAGACGAGTGCCTTTTTAAATTCAATGCATCCTTTTTTAAAGGTGCCAAAAATTGTTCAACATGCAAATTCAATAAGTTGTTAGACATTGATTTCATAGATAACAATAAAAATTTCAGCCCGATAACCGCTTTTTTCTTAAGCGACTGTGTTCTCTCTAAGCATTTCGGATAATCATGACTATCCCCACTGCCCTAGATAAACTGTGTTCTCTGCACCAATGAAGCCCGGCTATACCGGGGGGTGGCGAGAGAGTGCACAGGGAGTCTTCTCCCTTTTGTAAATAATGTAAATATTCTTTCTTTATCTTTATCATCAATTTGTTCCCTTTATTATGTATCAACTTGCGATTTATTTTTATGTATGACCCAGACTTGATTTTATCAATTATTGTTCATTCTGAAATTTAACTTAATGTTAACGCAGCACCTCCCTTCCGTTCCACCACATATTCTTCAATTTAGATGAAAGAGCAGATATCCATACATGGATAGGTACTCTGAAAAAATTGATTAGTTAGTTAGTTAGTTAGTTATGGCCATCCACAGTTTTCATGTACATTTTTATTACTTATAATTTTGTCATTGCCTAATATTCTTTTCTCAAGAACTCCATTTGCTCCCCAAACTTTAGTTTTGTCATGTATGTTTCTAAGTTTAACTTCAAGATAAAAGGGAAAAGGGCCGTAAGGCCTCAGACGCCCAGTTCCACTACAACGAACGAACGAATGGCCATCCACAGATCTCCGATCAAGTTTGCACATACTTCTAATCATGGTTACTTTATTATAATGTTACCACATTGTTACATAATTCAAAATGTTTTATTCACTGTATATAATTTTCATGATGAATGGGGTAGGGGCCGCTGCGCGGCCTAGGCACCCAGTTTTGTTTAAAGAAAGAAAGATGGCCATCCACAGAGATGCCAACTTGCTCCGGACAGCAAATATATATTTTAAAGTGGTAGCTTATGAATTGTGATTCTTTGTTTAATAAATTCAATTTAGTAGATTTTTATCCACCACTATTTCTAAATAATTCGTAGGATTATATAATTCACCACTTTATATAACTTATGTCATGCTATGCCCTTTAAAAAGAAAACAAAAATAGTCAAATATTTTCAAAATTTACTTTGTAGTTATTTACCGTTTTTTTTAATTATTTTGGCATGTTCGGAGCAGTTGGCATCTCTGCATCCAGTGTAGTCAATTTATGCATACATATATATCAATTTATGCATGTTAAATTCATTTGAAAATTCTATTGTATTTAATGAGCAA